CTGACACGGCAAAAAGGAAGGACACTCAAGCTGCAATTGAAGCGAGAAAAAAGCAACGCAAAAAGGAGTGCAACGGGAGCAGCTTGTGCTAGAGTCGGTAGCGGTGCGAGCAGCACGCAGAGGGCGTCGTTGTCGGACGAAGAGAGCGACGGACGGATACAAAGGAACGGAATCGAGGCCGAGCACGGCAACGAAGCTCGATCTCGAGATCTCGAGCGGAGGAGGAGGCAGCGAGGCAACGGAGGACAACACAGCAGAGCAGAGAAAAGGAGCGGCACGACAAAACGGCGGGCGGGTGCTGGAGCGTACTTGATGAAGGGGGAATGGTCGAAAGGGGTAGCCAAGAACCAACCAACCTGGAAAGGCACCAAGAGCACCCACTTTACTACGCCAGTGGGAACCACCAGTGACCAGTGCGAAGAAGGACCGCTGCCGGCCCCTCTTGCTGTTAAGGAACCCGCTTGAGACCCTTTTCGCTAGGCCAAGAGCGGCATGGCACAACGGGAGCACGGGCCAGCTGCAGGGACAGACGGGGAAGAGGATGCACAAGAACCACAATAGCGGGCAATCTTGGCTCTGTTCCTGGGCCGCGGAACTTCCCTGAGGCACTCGCCAAATTTGGTTTAATGCGGAATGGAAAGCATTTTAGACACGGAGCCGTTGCTGCAATCCTCGTTCTACGGGCCTTGGCTACATATTGCCCACGGTTCGTCATACACATCACATCACATCGGCACAGCTCGCAGGAAGATCTAGAGTCGAAAACCCGAATATCTACCTCGATTTCGATGAACAATTCCCGGATTCCTAACACAATATCCCCAACAGAGATCCATGGTGAAGCAGATATGCGGGCTGCCGACCCCCTGCCCCACAGAAGTTAACGTTATGCAGGCTTTGCATCCACCGTTCACTGGCACGGGACAAGCGGTGCCTGCCCACTCACGTCGTTGCGAAGCCACTGAAACCCTTCAAACGCCGACTCGAAACTTGCATATCCTTGGCAAGCCTTGGCTTCTTGGCCGTTGGGCCGGGAAAGCCCTCGGATGCGTCAACTTTGTTTTGGGACTGATGCGAAATACAAGCTTGTGATGTCACCGAACTCATTGCAACGCAGCTGCCCGTCCATGTCGCTCAATCTCGATCTCTTACTGATTCTGCCGCCATGAAACAGAAACCCACATGTCATTGTGGAAGTGAAAGCCATAGCTTTCCGAGTGCCACGGCCGCAACGGGTTGGCGAGCTGGAAGTCGAAGTGGCGAAAGAGCTGTCAAGCAGCGTCAGCCCTTGTCCAGTTAAAGGTCCAGGGTAAGAGAAACGTGCCTCAACGAAGAACTTGTTCAACTCCATGTATGCAATCAACTTGCCGGAACACAACCACCGACCAGCGCCAAACAGCTCTGCCGCACGCCGCATCTCGGCCCTCTGAGCAGCATCTGCTTCGAGCCAGCGTTCGGGCCGGAAGATGTCTTCGTCGCCGCCAAATACGCGCTTCGTGCGCCCGACCAGCCACATATTGGCCGAGACCAGAGTCCCTCCTGGCACACGTTTGCCGTTGATCACGTCTCCCTCCGGCGGGGCCTTCTTTAAGGGGATGCCCACGAAGGGAGAGTGGAGACGAAGAGCTTCGAGGATGACGGCCTGTTCATGTCAACTCAGCGGGGACGATGAGAAGTCGTGGCCAGTCCACGAACATACCTGGAGGTATGGAAGCTGCTGCTCCTCGGAGTAGGTGACGGGATTGGAGATCTTGCCTGTTCGGATGCCCTCGTCTATCTCAGCCTGCAGTGCCTGGTAGGCGTGTGGTGTGGCCAAGAGATAGAGCATGATGCTCCGGATAGCTGTCGACGTGTTATCCGTGCCACCAGTGATCTGGATCATGGCTTCAATCTCGCACTGACGCTGGCTCAAACCGTGACGGATAAACGAACTCTGCGAGAAACGACGTTAGTTGCCTTCCCAACAGTGTTGCAGGCACATGCACGCACTAGCATGTCTTTGTGGTCTTCCATCTCTACCTTCTCTGCGAACCTCTTCCTGACAGCCTCGTGCGCTCATCTACTTTTCGTTAGTGGACTCAAAAATGCGACACAAGAGACAGCAAAACGTACCGTCTAATAGCACCAATCCCTTTCTTGTCCCAGGGCTTAGGCGACAACCACCAAACCACAAGCTTCGATGAAAAGATCCAACGCAGATATGGCACGACCATGATGACCGCGAGTACAGGGGACAGCTTCTCCATACCCTCGATGTACCCATACACGTCCTTTTCCTCCTTGATGTGTCCAAGGTCCTTGCCAAACGAGATCTTGGCAGTGGAGTCGAGAGTGAAGTAAGTCGCCAAGGATGCAAACTCAAGAAGCGGCTTCTTCCCTCTGTCTTCGCGACCAATAACAGCGTACTTGGTCCTAAGTTTGTCAACAACCATGGCGAGCACCGAGTCGATGTCATTCTCCAGTCCCGGGACCTCTCTGCCCGCATATCCCGGGGTTTGTGCCTTGAGCTTGTCGTGGACTGCAGTGTCGAGGACATTAACCATGGCAACTTGTGCTGGATCCGGGCTTGCGAGCCTGTACCATGAGGACCGTGTTCATTTCGAGCGCGCCCCGGAGATCTGGTCAACAACCTTTGGATCGGAGGTGATGAGTTCATTGGGCCCGACGCGCACCGTTTCTCCGTACTTATTGTGGGCGGCTGAGAGCCGATAGTGAACTTCCCCGCTCCAAAAGGCTCTCATCAGCCAAAGGTATGTGAACGAGGCAAGACCAGGACCGTTAAAGTGGCGCAGTCGCCGCTAAGCAACGACGGCAGAAAGGGCATAGAGGGTGATAGCACCCGCAACGATGACCAGTAGCCACGACTCGGTGCCCAACTCCAGACTCTGTGGAATAACAGACATTGTACCGGTCTCTCCTTGTACTGCTAGGATTGAGGTACGGGCTGTTGATCTGCCATGAAGATCTAACCTGAGTTAAGATCGGTCGGCATATTAATGTAATGTCTTCATCGTGGCCCTGTTCACAAACTGGGGATCCTTCAACGCAGAACTTTGAACAAGTTACTCAGTTGCATGCCCAAGTTGCAGTCTGACATTTCTCCGCGCTGATACTACGTCGCCGCTGCCATGTAAGCCTTCATTCACAGGTTGACACGGCTGTGAGCGGCCCAGATTGGCTCCCAATGAGCGTCAGCATTTTTCTATGCACTGCGCTGATTCATGGCACACACTTCCCTTGCGTACTACGACTGCGTGCGACCAAGGTCGGTGCTTTTTGTCTTGTGAAAGAATTGCCAACTGGCTGATGATGGAACGGTACACGGCTGAATTTGAGTCTGTAAGTAGGATGCGAAGCGACATCTAGGCGTAAGAAATCATCAGCCTTGACAGCCCGAATGACATCTGGCGCAAGGTCAACCCATTCTCAGGCTTTGCTGTAGCACAAACTACTCGTACAATGTTGCAAGTCGTGTCCAAGCATATTAATGTTACAGCTGACACAGGTTGTCCGACTACCATCTCAACGTCGACTTGATAGGACTCGACATCTTAGTCGAGTCCGTGTTCGACCTGGGCAGCATACTTCTTCGGGTCCTCTGTTCCCTAGTCATCCCGGTTGCTTCCCGGAAAGTAAACACTCCTGACCTTGCTTTCCCTCCCTGCCCAGCAACCGGCATGACACGTATCCTCCTCCTCTTCAGCTCCCTCGCCACATTAAACGACGTCGGCGCAGCCAACTTCACAGCCTTCGCACTCTTTAACTCTCTCAACCCATCTAACCCATCCTCAAACCCCCCAAGCCGACCGTCATCCCCCCTGCCCTGAAACCTCGCAGCCAAATCCACCTCCACAAACCCCGTCGAAGCTGGAATCCCATCCTCCCTTAATGCCATTCCCACAATCATCGCCCCAATGACAACCAAAACGCCCGCCACACTCGCAATATATACCCACACGACCCATCTAACACCCAAGAACCTCGTCGTCGACACGCCTCGCGAAGCAAATGTCTGCATATCACTTGGCAGGGAGAACCTTCCCTCCTTGCCTAGCACCCTTGCAAGTTCGGGAGTGACGCTGTAGTTGGCGTATTGCAAGCATGTGACCATAAATTGGTGGGGGATGGCAAGGAAGTTGCGGAGGTGAGAGAGGGGCGTTTGCATGTCGTCTGGAAACATGTCGTCATACAGGCGGATTAGCCAGGTTATCCCGTAGGTGAGAGCGTTGACGATGTGTGCTTCGATCGGAGTAGCGGTGTTCGAAGTTGAGATATCGGCAGTGAAGGGCGGGGGAGGGATGAAGAGCTTTTGGAAGGCGGCGAGGTAGGTTGTGACATTGAGTGGTTCGGGATGGAGAGGGGATGTGGGCTCCACGTTGACGATTGTGAAGTCGTTGCCGTTGTAGGAGACTGTAGCGTAACGCTTGTAGCGCGTCATGAGGACTTGTTTGGTGAGGGGATTATAGAGCCAGGTTGTGTTGGTTGTGCAAGCTTTGGCTGTGTAGATGGACGTTGGGCAGGCGGCCCAACCTGGGATTGTCAGTCAATGATGGCTTGAAGGACCGAGTTTAAAACATACCAACTGCTAGGGAACCGTTGATAGCTTTTATGCAAATTTGAAGTATGTCGTCAAGCTGCTGTCCATACAAGGCACACTCTGTGACAAAGTCAAACTTGAACTCCGGACCCAACGTCTGGTAGGTCAGAAGAACTCCAGGGGCGTTATGGATCTGGATGGTTTCTGCATTTCTCAACGCGCCGCCCTCCAGCAAGGTCCGGTTCAGATAAGGGCCCGCTATCCTTGCCGTCTCGATACCACCAGGCAGGAAAACCGATGTACAGTTCTCCTTGCAACTGTCAATTGGCATGGGCACTGCATATTTAGGCACATCCAGCAGTGTCGGGATCCAGGACATGAAGAAGAGACCGATATAGGAACCAGGGACGATGGCTAGCAAGGTTTCGTCTACGGGAATTCCTGAGCCTGCGAAGACTGGCGTTCGAGAGGCTGTTTCAGAGAAGAAGTAGACAAATTCTGCTTTGTCTGGGCTAGATCAGTATCAGTCTTTGCAGATGATCAATACCCTGGGGTTTAACGTACACTTCAGCAGAGACCCAAAGTACAGCCCCAAAAGGGGCATCAAGAGCCTGAACAGTCAACTTGGGCCTCTGATACGTGTGTATCAGTCCTCCCCTTACCTGACAGACCCCACGAACGAACTCGACATCTTTGTCACAGTCAAAAACAACACCGAAATCCATTGCGTCGAGCTACTCAGCTGGAGAAAGGTCGTCGCAGACACCCCAATTTTTCTCGCAGCCAGCTGCCACCGTAGCATATCAAATGACCCCGTCACCAGCATGTCAATCATGTTCGCCAGCACCTGGGACAACACCGATACCACCAAGTTAGTTGTTGACGCCAAAGGGAGCTGGTCTCCGATCTTGGGGTCATGGCTCAACATGGATTTATAAACAAAGAAGGAGTAGAGCAGGGAGAAGACGACTGCGAAGGCCCAGAGGGCGAGAAGAGGAAAGACTTCTCTTGTGTTGGTCCTCTGTTCTTCATGGTCGGCATCGGTTTCTGGGAGCTGCGGCTGTTGTGGCTGTCCCTCCTGGATGACAGTCACCCCTGGGTTAGAAGCTTCATCTGGTGAGTGAGGGTAGCCCCAGCATTGTTTGGAGAACTCTGTTGTGCTGTAGGCCGGCTTGATGCGCATTGCCTCCTTAAACTCTGCTCGCTTCTCGTCCATTTTGCTGGCTGGTGTTCACATCGGAGCGGCTGGACGGTGTGGGAGTTAGGAACAAAGCAGAGACGGCCGTTCTCCCTGATGACAAGACCTGTCACTCCCATCCCCTCAATTCTAGTCAAGTCTTGGCCTATATTTCTTCCATTCTCTCCAATTTCACATCGCCCTAGTATACAGGGCTGTTCCTTAACCTTGCACAGTTGCAGCAAGGATCCACGACGAACCCCTTGACCGAAACATCGAAGCTCAAATTAGGACTGTTAACCCGTCCCGGGTAATAAATGGTGCTACATTGCGGGTCATATCCCACATAATCGCAGGACGAATCCCAACGCTGATCCAAACTTCCGCAATTCTCTGCCGATGGGATGAGATTTATTTTTCTTTTGACCGCTTATGGCAGAGAAGAGGGCTGCAGGCCAGTGTGCCATTTATTGCCTACCGTGTCGAGGTGCGTCGATATTTCAATCCTCCGATTACAGTCGCGCTTTTCATCTATATTGACCTGGCAAATTACATCAAGATTTGGCAAGTTAACATATACAGAACTTGGATGCTCTCTGTAGGCATCATCGGTGAATCACGGGGCGACGGGGCAACGCAAACTTCTCCAGATTACCCCACAGTTCTGTATGTGTTCTCCAGGCGGAGGTACGAGCAATAAGAGTAGGCACGAGCATAACAGAGCAGTTGGGAGGAACTAAACATAGCTTGGGTTCTTCGAAAGAGAACTGCCTCCATTCCAACAACATATAGATGGTATTCGGTCGAAAGGGAATTAACTTGAGAACAATTGTGCTGTGTCAGTTGATGTTTGCAACCTGGCAACCATGTATTGCTCTCAATAAAGCTTTAGACCCATTCATGGAGAAGGTCTTGCACACAACACACTGCCAGTCTAAGCCAAAAAAAAGTGAGAGTTTAACGTCATCTCTTGAAAGAGAAGCAACAAGTAAGCAAGTAAGAACCTTATATTTGTATGCTCATGCTTTCCTGCAAAGAGGCCTGACAAACTCCTATTTCAAGACTTGTGATGACTAGGGAATACAAGCTACTAAACACACAAGAGCATCTGTTAAAAGGAACATGCCTAAGGTTTGCTTTCAGTTGGACAAATTTCTGCTCAACTGTTTCAAATGCCAACATAATGCCAAAAGTGTCTCAGTATTTAGTGCTCTGCGGACAAAAATGGTTCAGAATACTTGGCAGGCTATGGGAGCATATATCGAGTCAGACAATCGTGTTTTTGATTTTGAGCTTCCATAACAGTCCTTAGTTGATATTCAAAGCGCTTTTAAGAACGGATAGAGAAAAAATTGCCCTATATATTCCTTTTTTAGATGGGCTCATATTTGGAGTTCACCTGTTCAAACTGTAACTGAAATGTTTCACTAGATTTAACAAGGTTTTCAGTATCATTAGGGGGTCTAGAAATAAAGAAGATAAAAGATGCAGTTAAGATGGAGCGATAATCTGATGACTTTAAACTTCAGATTTCTCCCCATATGTATAAAGGACTGCCATCTATGTGTTTTACGGCATGTTTCCATGCAACCTCCTTATGTGGGGTTGAGTCTTTCCCAAAGAGCACAGTGAAGCACCACCGTATACCCAACGTATCAAAAAGGTCTCAGTCTAGCATCACATAAAAGAAAATATCTGTCGTTTCGTACCCAGTCGTGTCATCTGTTTGGAATCTCCGTTGTCTGTAAATGTTATTATCGAGCACTTGTCTGCGCTGAGCTGACTTGCCCCCTTTCGCTTAACGTATTCGATGGCTCACCACGGTGATGCTCTGGCTGGCACTGATATTGTGTGAGCAGAACTAGACTTAGATCACGACACCATGCCTTTGACGCTTTTGGAACTAGTTCCACAGAGTGTTTGAAATCTGTAGTGACTTACAGAAACCTTCTTGCGGCGACACTCGGCACAAGCCCCAATTTTTCTCATGTATGCTGTTCGTTTCCTTTGTTCCTCAGTCAGAGGCCCTCTCCTCCGCGGTCCTGAACCAGCAGCACTGATGGAAAAGGAAAGTGTTGTCCCAACGTTGGCTTCCGAGCCCCTTGGAACACGACTCTGAGACGCCACCTGAGATGCCCCCAGCCCTGATGGCGTCCATGAAGTGGATGTCAAGCCCGGAGAAGGCGATGACCAGCTGCTCTGCTGTATCGTAGTCGCTCGGAATGTAGAAGTTGTGTAATACGGTGACCCCCGTTTGGATGTCTGCGAGATTGGCTGTGGATCCTGTTCCACTTGATATGGATCAGCATATCTGTCGATATTGCTGGGACGATCTGAATCTGGAGCTGGATTGAGGAGCTGCGAGATGGCTAATCTTCCAGACATGTTGACCGGCGCGATATCACTGTCAGCAACAGGTGGCGAGCTTTGATGAACGGAGGGAGTCTCTCTTGGTCTAAGACCAAGTATGGCTGATGATTCACTTTTGGGAAGTATGTAGCTGCTTAGGCTTCTGTAAGCCTTGTCATGCAATCATGACATTGCTGGATGGCTCTTGAAAATCGAGGCTCTGCAGATGCAGAAGCATTCAGCAATGGAGCATCGGATTGTACCCTCCTCAAGGAGCTGAGGTGCGCGTCAGAAGATTCCATGTCCGCAGCCATGGCTGCATACGGGTTTTCACCGAGAGAAGCAGGGTATCTGTAGTGGCCTGTCACCTTGTGGGAATACCAGCCAATCCCACTACAGTTCGGTGGCATGCCTTGCTAGCAGGCTTGCCCCCCTGGACGGCGCTATTGGAGGGCTCATCATCCCGCCGTTAAGGCGCAGCCAAGGGCAATAAAAATGCTCGAAGCGGGAAAGCCGGGGCGTCCGGATAGCGAGAAGCCCCCTTACGAGCAAAACCCATGCGGGGTAGGCAGCGCAGTTGAAGGCAGTGCAGCATCCTTTTCACTCCCAGGGGTCACCAGACTGTCGGTGCAACACTGTTTTACTCACCAATGACGTGATGTTTCATTGTCGCAGTGGCTTACGGGAGGCAGGGCAAATGCTGAGCTTCAGCCTTTCATGGTAACTCCCGGAGCAAGGCTTCGAGAAGCCACGTTTTAAAGTTTACCACCCCTTTCGTACAACGAAGAACCAAGAACTCAATACAGCTACAATCTGTCCCAGGATGTATCCACGGGCCATCCCTTTTCGCGACTTATCTTTCCTCTCGTCTGAGCTGTTTCCTAGGTCTTGCCTGTTAATTGCGCAGTGTGTTCATTCTATTAACTGCCGGGAATGTAACCTTGCTCGACTGCCAGTGTGAATTTGTGGTTCGCGAGGGGACTCAACTCACCCCTGGTATCTTAAGACGCAAGCCAGTGTGGGCACATTCCATGAACTGAAAGCTTGCCATTGTGCCAAGTTTACCTAACACGGGCGCTTCGGATTACCATGTTAGGAATACTGGCATCGGGGGCGGAGTCATCTTGGCGAACACGGAGTAAAAGCCGCGTCTAATCAGAAGCCAAGCACCTGGCGGAAAATTCACTGATTCACAAGGCGAACTTCTAGAAATGCATCATGGAATAGTATTCCCGGCAGATTTAGGGCATATATTAGGCGCTGCTATATCACCACCACGGCTTTTTTTTTTCCCTTTGAGTACACCTCCAAGATATGGAGCGAAGTCCGGGTCATGTCCGTGACTGGATGCCAGATGACGGCCAAGCTGGTACGCCACCCCTGCAAAAATGGAATGCGAAATGCTTATCGTCCGTTGCGGTTGCACGGCCCGTTGCGTGGGGGTCACCGTTGGTGGCTCAAGGTTCTCAAAGGAGTCACTCCGCAGGCAGCATTGCCGCTACAAGACAGTGAAGAAATAAGAATTCGGCGGTCAGCATCTCGTTCGATTCCAGTCCGTTAGATGGGTAAATGGATAAATCGACCTCAGATATATGTGGACTGTTATGACGCTCTGACGATTTACCTCATGGACGCATCGCGTAATGTTGACCATTGGGTAATGACATTGATGTGCACTTCCTTGAACCTTGTAAATGTATATCCACTACTGGGCTTGAGAGTTAATAGTTAAGAGTCTGGTTATGTAAGTTGGTCGCTGTTCCCAAGATACAACTGATGACTATCGAGTGGTTTGAGTTCATCAAACTTGCCATCGGCAGTCCCAGAAATCCTCACATCAAACTCCTCAAAAAGTAAGATAGCCCCTATTCCTATACTCATCTGAGTCAGATGTGATAATATTGGTTATGATCCTGACATTGAACAGCTGCATCTCGGGATTGAGGGGTTGAAGATCAAGGTGCCCAACTCTATGACCTTCCAACGCTCTGTCTCGAGAACTGCCCGATATTGGCCGATAGCCCACATCTAAAGAGAAAGACACGATTTGCAGCTGGATCTCCGCATTGCAAAATGAAATGGTCTACAGTCTCCAACGAAGCTGTGTCGAGTTTGTTTGATGCTTTGCTTGCAGACAGAAGCCTCAGGCGGGGAGTCAAACCTCCCTCAACCCTAACCCTGAACGTCTGACTTTAGGCTAAGATAGGAGTCAGGTGCTAAACGCAAGATGGAAGTGGACAAGGTGGACACTCTCCGACTGAACGGAGCCTGAAGCATGAGTCAGAAGTCAGGATGGGGCACCCTGACAGCGGGCAAGCTCCCTTTACACTTTGACACATCACTGATCAACTCTTTTAACATTGAGGGAGACCTATCTCAACGATTCCCGCAGACAACATCACCATCTTACACGCACAGTCGTATCTGTTAGCCCGGCACACCAGCATTTCAACAATGGCTAACGACCGGGACCACATCCTGACGCTGTCGTGCCCCGACAAGCCGGGCATTGTGCACGCGGTCACGGGAGTGTTTGCCCGCGAGGGGCACAACATCCTGGACCTGCAGCAGTTCTCGGACCCGACAAGCCAACGCTTCTTTATGCGGGTGCACTTTGGGCCGACACCAGCGCCGTCGACGGAACATCTCAAGCCGGCCTTCGACGCGCTGGCGGCCGAGTACGCCATGACGTGGGACATCCGACCTGTGGCGCGCAAGACTCGGGTGCTCATCATGGTGTCCAAGATCGGCCATTGTCTCAACGACCTGTTGTTTCGCGCGAAGACGGGCCAGCTGCCCATAGAGATTGCGCTGATCGTGTCCAACCATCCCGACTTCGCGCCGCTGGCTGCTAGCTACGGCATCGAGTTCCATCACCTGCCTGTTACCAAGGAGACCAAGGCACAGCAGGAGTCGCAGGTGTTGGAGTTGATCAAGAAAAACGACGTTGAGCTCGTTGTGCTGGCACGCTACATGCAGGTGCTCAGCCCGATGCTCTGTGAGGCTATGTCTGGCCGCATCATCAATATTCACCACAGCTTCTTGCCCTCGTTCAAGGGCGCGAAGCCCTACCACCAGGCCTACGAGCGCGGCGTCAAGATCATTGGCGCCACGGCGCATTTTGTCACAGCCGATCTGGATGAGGGCCCGATAATCGAGCAGCGTGTTGCCCGCGTCGACCACAGCATGAGCCCCAAGGAGCTCGTCGACGAGGGTTCCAATATTGAGAGCCAAGTGCTTGCTGCTGCCGTTAAGTGGTATGCTGAAAGGCGTGTGTTCCTCAACGGCAACAAGACTGTCGTCTTTTCCTGAACACGCGATGGCGATTTTGGGGTTTTTCGAGGGAGTGGGCTTGTGTCGAGTGACATCTCGGCCGAAACTCGGAATGTCAGGGCTGAATCCGATTTTGACGGACACAACTTTGCAGGATTTAAAAGCGCAAGACTTTGAAGTTTGGAAGTGTACATAATCTAGGCAATTTTGGTAATTTGATATTTTTGATCTGGTTCAGACAGCATCAACGACTTTTGTCCTTCCCTCCCCTGTTTTCTAGAGGAACACTCTCTCACAAAATGGATGCGCGCACCTGTCAAGCTGCAGTGTCTATACGCCAACGGGCCAATGGAGAATGTGGACGCTCAACAAACCCTCTAACACTCGAGCGATCACATAATCGACAAGACTAGAAACAATGAGTCATCTCGATCAAAACAGTTGCGTGGTCGTCTTATCAGATAAGGAGTTGTCGAGGATTGACGTTGAGAATTCGGTGTTCGGCGATCGGCTGGCTGCCAAGTGGCGACCCACTCACTGCCCCGCTGACCCTTAAAAGCTGCGCTGCGGGTGACATCATCACACCCCTCCATGCCCTTTTGCCCCAGCCCACCGGGCCACTGGAGGGTTCGGCCCACTTTCTGAAAGGGACTTCCACCAGCGATCCGCGTCCACCTGCTCGAGTCAGAGTTCTGAGACCCTGAGGGTACACAAAGCGGCAGACAAGTGTAAGACAAAACCTCCACTCGGTGACAGCACAACTCTGTCTGCGTTACTTTCCCAGCCCGAAGCCCGAACTGGGTGTTGACGATGCGCCCTATTTGCCTGCATCTCACAAGTCCAGGTCCCGGGAGATTGGCGATCCCGGTTGCCATCGTTGACAATCGCCTTAAATAAACTGCAGCTTTTTTTTTCTTTGTACAACTCAGTCAATCACAGTTCCCCACGACAGCTAGGGCGCGTTTCAGGACACTACATACCTCCCTCAGACTCTCTAGGCTTCCAGCTGCGCCTTTCGAACGCGACAATGGTGCATGCAGCTCAGATTGCGGCGAGCGCAACCCCCACCACTCCCTCCCGTCTATCATCACGCCGACCACAAAACTCGGGATCCTTTCACTCCGGCCGACGCAGCTCGACGGGTTCATTCCACGCCGGAGAACCATTTCCGCAGCTACCATCATACAACGATAACCTTTCCGGCCCGAGCCAGCGACGCAAAACACCGAGTGCTATCGTTGGCCCAGATCTTCCTAGGCTTCGCACCGGACGATCAGGTCGCATTCGATACCATACTTTTCCGACACCGCCCCCTCTTGGTCTAGGCAGTCTGTCAGGAAAAGAACAACCATGGTACAAGCGTCTGTTATGGTGGTCAAAGGGGAAGGTTGGCCTCGAAGATGGCTTCACCTCTCCCGGTGAACACGATGATGGCACACGACGACTCCCTTCCGGACACCACATCGATATCTCTGAAAATCCTCTGCCCTGGACCCAGCTATGTCTGCTCGCCCTCCTCTCCCTCGCCGAACAGACCGCGCTCAACTCAATCGGTCCCTACCTCCCGACAATGGTCGCTTCGTTCCCCGAGATCCCTGACGGCCAGGAAGGCGTCTACGTGGGGCTTCTGGCATCAGCTTTTGCGATGGCCCAGCTCACGACAAACCTTTTATGGGGTTACCTCTCGGACCAGGTTGGGCGGAAGCCTACCATGCTCTTGGGGTCCTCCTTGCTGATGGTATGCTTCGTGTTCTTTGGCCTTTGTCGCACGTACACGCAGCTTCTGATTGTGCATGCCGGAATGGGGCTATTGAACGGGAATGCGGCTATTGTGCCGACTTGTTTAGGAGAAATAACCGACCGGACGAACCAGAGCAAGGCGTTTATTTGGTTGCCAGTTATCTACAGTTTAGGGAGCATCACTGGACCAGCTCTAGGTGGACTGCTCGTTGGAGTTGTGGCTGGTGAAGACTACCCCTTTTTGGCACCCAACATCTTTTCGGCCGCACTTCTGCTGGCTAGTGTGGTTGTGTTAGCTATTTGGTTTGAAGAGACTCTTAGCACCATCGAGCCCGTTGCATTCGACAATAAGTGGATCAACAAGGCCCGTGACTGGTCCCTGGCAGGCTGGCATCGGCTCAAACAACCATTTTCTCGCACGCCTTCAGATCCGTGGGAGAGTTACCCTATCAACGCTGCACCCAACAACAGTGACAGCGATTTCAGCTCTCAATCTGACAATGCGCCTGACGAAGACGATGAGCACCAGAGAGTGTTAGATCACAATGCCCCTGATGGCTCGGGCGAGGACGAAGAGGCAGAAGAGCCCAAGTCTGCCTTTAGAGAGCTCGCCAACCGTAACACCCTCTTTATTTTAGGAACTTACCTCGCCTTCCAGGTCTCCAACATCTCCTTCAACTCTCTTTACCCCATATTTGCCGCGGCTGCACCTCCCACTGGGCGCAATCTTGGGCCTGAGACAATCGGGCTGAGCTTGTCGTTTGCGGGGCTGGTGACGGTCTTGTTTCAGATGCTTGTCTTCCATAGACTGAAGGACCGGCTTGGGAACCTTGGGACATACCGGTACTCGTTATTGGGTATGGCGCTGGCTATGACACTGATGCCTTGGGTTGGACACCCAGATAGCAGTCCTCCTTTGGGCATTGGAAGTGGGAAGCTGTGGTTGTATGTCGAGCTGGGTGTGGCGTTGGTGTTGAAAAACATCTCTGCTGTGGGTGGGCTGAGTAGTGTGATGCTTCTGGTAAATACCCTGCCCTTTCAGTCTCCTGAGAGTTAGTGCTAACAACATCAGATCACCAACTCCGCATCCTCCCATGAAACCCTCGGCACCCTCAACGGCATCGCGCAGTCACTATCCGCAGCAGGCCGCAGTGTCGGGCCTTTCCTCTCCGGGGGCCTTTTTACCCTCTCCACACGCGTCAGACCCAAGGGCGAGGCACTTGCTTGGGGTCTGTTCGCCGGCTTCACGCTTTTTGGTTGGTTCGCCTCGCTGGCAATACGGGGCAATGGTCTGGAGAGTGCTGGGTGGGTAGATGAGAGTGAGGATACGGAGGAGGATGTTGATGAGGAGGCCAATGGAGAAGGACAAGAGCAGGCGCTCAGTAGTTTGTGACGGATGCGGCTGTTGCCTATATGATAGACAGAGGCGATGCTTTCGACTTTTGGTTTTTGGCGTTTCTTCCCGGGGAGTGTCTTTTCCTGGCTAGCCTGTGTTTGTATGAGAATTCATGAGTGATGGCCAAAACAAATATGTTGTTTCGATCAACGAGCCTTATGGAGTTAGGTTGCTTACATGCACATCATGCGATTTATTTGGCTGAGGTAGCTTGAGCTCGGCGGCCTCGACACCTGAGAAGTTGTGTGCGATCTTACGTGAACACATCAGCTGCCACCTAGAACAGCAACGGTAAGCTGTAAGCTGGCCAATGGTTCACCACAAACATGAAAGCCTTCTCACGGATAGGTCCATGCATTTTGCTCTGAGCAGTTAGTCTTGGGTTAATTCCTTGATCGACAGGGCCTCCAAAAAGCCTCGTTTCTAGTTGGTTGAGCATTGTCTAGAAGTATGCAACGTCCTTTACCCACACACTATGCATTTACATCCGAAAAGGGTTCGCCGACGGGTCCGAACAAGAGCTGAAAATGGTGTAGTGCCGTTTCATGACGTGAGAAAGGCGCAATATCCGGAAGGCTATGGGGTCCCAAGCCACGGTTGAAGGCACCACAATACAGCCCAATGGAATATCTCAACTAGAGGTGACATGATAGCCTTCATACAATGAAGGGGAAGTTGGGGAAACTGTTGACTCGTGGGCCGAAGGTCATAACAAGCATCTCATTGCCGAATTCGTCCCATCCTGTTGGCTCCCTCGGAGGATTAGGAGATTAGGTGCATGCTGTGCCTCAGACACGACCGTATTGCTACATCCCCGTTTAGCATCGAGAATGCGGAAGCTTGGAGTTGTATTAGTAGAGTCTCAGGCTGCATTTCATGTCATCTCACTCGGAAAAGCATCGCCTACACGCCCGTTAGATGTAATTCTCCAATGATTGGAAGAGAACAGTCCTTCCAGAAGTTCGATTCCTTACCTTTCATATTCCGTATGAGTCAAACGAGATCTGAACGCTCGTCGAGTGATAGTACCGTGCCTCTAAGCTGCGAAGGAGGGAAGATTAGCACAGCAAGAACCGGGAATTTACGGAGATTGTTGGTTGGTGGCGTTGAGATCTGCCTGGATCTGGTGTTCCCAGCCATGTGGAAGCGATGCTAAGCAGGGGGACGTCCCAAGTGTACGGATAATATGTACGAGGAAGGTAGAATGAATACCAGAATATCGTCGAGTTCAGGTGATGGCTTACGTCGTGCATATAATCGTAAGTATCTTCATCGCCTTGTCCCATTCTCTAGTATCTAACCACGAACGAGATCCCAAGGCCTCGAGCTAGCATTCCGAACAACGACACTACATTCTCTCATAAAACTGGATGTCCCCTACTCTAGTATACATCGCATCCGAATTCTCGAAGAATGAGTTCGTCACGGTCTAGTGCATCCTCCCGCAGTGGGAAAAGCAGCCGATCTAGCAAACCTAATCAGGTAGGCTCGCAATAAACTACCGTCTGGAGAACCAGACACCTCCTTGATGTTGAGTAGACGCTAACATATGGGGTAACCTAGTCTGCTCGACAGCTCATTGAAGCATTACAAACACATCGTGTGAATACTCTCACGGAACTTTGCCGGATCGAGAGAGTAGCAGCAACAAGTGACTGCGTGGAGGAGTTCCGAGCCCCAATGACTGCTGCCACGACATACGTATGTGAAACTGGACTGGCACTGCATAGAATTCTTCCCAATAGCAGATCGTAATCTCTGATAACTGGATTCATAGTATGTCACCAGCAATCAGATGCTCACCGAGCTTAGGGGTCTTACCCCAAGCTACCCCTTTTGCGGTGATATCTTGATACATGCTCAAAATCTCGTCCAGAATGATCCGGACTCCAACCGAAGCTGGAACTACGCCTGGCTATGTTTGAACAAGATAATTGATGAGTAGGATTTCAACCTTCCATCATCATTTATTTAACCATATCTGACATATTACCACAGAAACCTTATCCTGATCTACGCAAACGCTGAAGCTTCCAGGCCGGAGATGTGGGGGGGAACTGAGCCAAGTGAAGACCAGGTTGAGCAACTTGCGGCTTGCTTCAGGTACGAATGGGAGATGGCGGTGCAGACGATGCTTCAACACTGGCAGACACCACCTACGTGGTATTAAGTCAGGCATCAGATCATCAAATGCCCATTGAGGAGACAGTCTCTTCGTACATCTGACGACACTCAGTGCTGAGAGCGCGGTAGCAGATGGACTTGCTGGAATCTCCAGTCTTTCACATCATACTTCAGTTTTTTCAAGAACTCTAAAATAGTAGTATCAGGTACACGGAATGCAGGCATTCCGACTTTCTTTTCCCCTTATATTACACATAGATGATCGCAGGGTTAGGGGTACGCTTTATGATGTGCTCGCGTGACGAGATCGCTCGGTAATCGTTGCCAAGACCGGCAAGCCAATCGAATATAATCCCCACTTTTATTTCATCCCATCAGCTGCGAGCGCCAAGGACGGCTGCCCCACCCCACCTTCCAGGAGAAGGAATGTGGATCCGTGGCCTCGAGTCGTCGTCGACTGTGCTGTCCGCTGATTCTCATTTGACCGCCCAAAGCCTCTACAAGCCCGATCTGACCGACTGAGCCTGGCAAGGGCAAGCCCAACCTCCCCCCAACATATTTTCTTCGATTCCTGAAACCCGTCGTTTCATTAGGCCGCAAGGTCTTCCCGCCGATTCCATCAGAACCCTCATCCGAAGTCGCCTTCTGTCCTCGTCCCCGTTGACTGCCCGCTGCCCCTGAACAGGTGCGTCGACGCCCAACAGCTGCATCTGTCGCGGCACACAACCCAACCCTAACCTCGAAAAAACATACGCACATACATAACACAAACATCATGTCGGGCGCCGACGCTCCAGAGATTCTGGCCGCGTACGATGCGGTGCGTTCGGACAAGGACCCAACCAACTGGCTGCTCATCTCGTACGCGGGGCCGACGGGCAACCAACTGGTGCTGAGCAAGACAGGCACGGGCGGGTTGGCTGAGCTCAAGGAGGAGTTTGTCGATAACGACGTGCAGTACGGCTACTGCCGGGTCGAGTACGCCAACGACGCCGAGAGCAAGCGCATAAAGTTCGTCCTCATTGTGTGGATCGGCGAGAAGACCAAGGTCATGCGCAAGGCGCGCGTCAGCATCGAGGCCGGCAACGTCAAGAAGGTGCTGTCGCACTATAGCGTGCAGGTTGACGCTAGCGAGAAGAGGGACTTGGACGAGAACGACATTGTAGCCAGGTTACGCAAGGCGGGCGGTGCCGACTACAATGGCGGCCGTGGGTGAGGGGATCAGTATCCAGCCGCCTTCTGGGTTATGCTTGTCTCTTGTGATGGTCGTGGAGGGGTGATTGGATACGCAATATAATCGAGCATGTATGTGTATGGGTTGTTGATGGTCTCAGCGATGGTTTTGGTCTGGTACACAACATCTGGATCTACGTTGTTTCATGCCCCTTCGCCAATCTTAGGCTGCCTGGCCCGCACGGACGGATTCCACGTGGGAGACCGGCATTGCGGTTTCGATGCGCAATACAACACTGCTTTCACCGGTCAACGACAAGTCCTGGTTTTTGATGACCACTCCCATGAATGGATTCGTATCTGCAACGCTGTTGGAAAGAGGAAAGTAGGTGCTGACCGTTGGAAGAATGTTGCACGTCCATCACATCAAGACACGTTGGCCGCTCCAAAGACTCGAGGTCGCGATCTGGCGACCCAGAACCAGGTGGGTCCAGCCACAGCTGCCTGGCCACTGGCCGTCTCGTCAACAGGGTTGTTGGATTGACGGGAACGGAAAAAGTGGAACCGATATCCGAATCCTTGAGCTAGGACCCTTGTCCCTGCCACATGAATTGCTGCGTTCAGCCTGTTGCGATCTTGCGGACTGCCTGATCCCGTTGGATCTTGTTGCGCTCGGTCATCGGAGTCAAGTTTCTGCACATCTGCTTTCCCGAAAAAGTCTCCCGTCTATCCTCCTAGAAACTAGCGGCCCGATCGAGCCAACCACAAATCCAAGGTCCGCTTCTTTACAGGCTATCTATGGTTCGGGGTCGCTGACGGCCCAGCGCCTCGTCGCCGCCGGTCACCAAGTCGTGCTTCACGCTATACCCGTTGGCGATCTCATCAGCGTCGACGAGACAATGAACCTTACGGCAGAGGCAGACAAAGCTGGGCCCGTACAACGCGGTCATCCACGACGCCGGCATTTTCCGCGTCACCACCGGCGGCGTGGACACATCGGCGCTGTGTAAGTCGGGGCCCCCCACCACCATTACCGTCAACATGCTCGCGCTGTACCTGCTGATTTGTCTCATGATCCGACAGAAGCGACTGATCTGCATCTCCGACTTGCACAAGGGTGGCCGTCTCAACGTATGCGGGGAAAGAAGCGGGGGATGCTCAGTCTGCCGACTGAGTCTCCAGCAGTCTACCTCAGCGACAACAAACTTCACAATGTCATGTTTGCTCACCGGTTTGCTGCTGACGTCGGCTGCTACTCTGCTGATCCTAGCTGCGTCCCCACCAAGATGAGCGGATCGCTGGCCTCCGGTCGTTTGGAGGATGCTGTGTCGAGGCATTCACCATGCTTGCCCTCGGCTGGGGAGAATCGAACTGAACACCGGGAGGGTTCTTTATCAAGTCCAAGCAGGCGGCGTACAAACAGTGGCTGACGAAGTGAAGCTGCAAGACGCTCTGCTAGCTGAGCTGGCTGCCATGTCCGGTGTTGATGTCCCTGAGCAACGTTGAGTTATTCCGGGGGCAACGGATGCGGCATGCGACGTCGGAGTGTGTGTGTGCACTCGGTACTTCTCCCATTGGTACCTCCTTCAACGCCATAACTCAACTAGAAAGCCAGTCAGGTTCCACTGTATTACTCTTCGACATCGACCGTCGTTGCAGACCCCAGATGTTATGCGGCGTGGCTAATGGTACACTTATGCCGGCATGGTAATGGTTCATTGCATCATGCGCCCACCCGGTTGCGGCTAGAATTTGATCATCCTCATGCCCCCCATCTTTCCCAACCCACTCACACCGGCAGACTCCGCATCCGGGATTCCTCTTCAGCACTCACCTCATGTTTGACTTGATATTTCCAACACTCTCTTCCTTTGCCGCTCTTCGCTGCAGAGTTGCTGCCCAAAATCTCGCCCTCATGACCCAACAAGCTGAGGAGCGGATCCGGTATCTTTTCGTTCAGCTTACCTCAGCCCACATGTATTTTTCGTTGCTTCCGGCGTCTATTCCCACAGACCATGGGTTGACATGATACTAGAAAATCGCGTCCCGAAAAAAAAAAATACTGCAGACCCTTGTGTCTTTCTTTTCCGCCGTTGTCCCGATTTTCCATGCGGCTCGGTCCGACGACCTGGCGACCTGGCGAGAACCAGGACGGTGGCTCAGCCTAGTCCCAGCATGGGATAGTCCTACGCGCTGCGTCCGGGTTGAACAAGGTTCAATGCATGCAGCCCTCAGGAGATACTCCTGCACCATAACACCCCTTTAATGACATGCCCATTATCCAACCTTGTTTGCCAATGCAAATGCAGCATCTAGGGAGAAGAGATGCAGCTTATGGTTTTATGAGCTGCCGCTAGTAGGACTTATCGGAGCTCACCGCTAACTTGAGCTGTCCCGGTCATCGGGTTATGAGACTTTAGTCGGAATGATACAAGTATAAGACTTTAGAAGGCCTTTCAAGAGTCTTGAAAAGAGGTTCTGTCTTCAGCCGCATTCCATCGTCAACTCTTCGGCCAACAAGACGGGTCTCTTTGACTGCCAACCTGCCAATATGTCAACCTTCGCCTCAGAGGCTGGCCCCAGAGACCAAAGGATTGCGACAACGCGCCTCCCCATGCTTTCACTTCCCTCTACCGTGCGTAACAATGTTGTTGCTGGCCTAGGCGAGTTTGTCGGAACCTTTCTGTTCCTCTTTTTTTCATTTTCCGGCACCCAGATTGCCAACAGCGCCCCTGCGACGACTGATGAAATCAACGGAGTGGTACCCCCGAACGTCTCTGTCGTTTTTTTCATCGCTCTTGTTTTCGGCTTGAGTCTCATGGCCAACGTCTGGGCCTTCTATCGCGTCACCGGCGGTCTCTTCAACCCTGTGGTAGGTCTACTCCAATAAGTAATGGCATAGCGTGGTCAACACAACAGTGACTCACATTCATACCACAGGTCACCATGGCCTTGTTCCTCGTGGGTGGCCTTGGCGCCGTCCGTAGTATTGTCGTCATTATTGCTCAATTCCTAGGTGGCATCGCTGCTGCCGGCGTCGTGTCTGCCCTCTTTCCCGGCCCTATGAAGGTCAACACTACCCTTGGTGGCGGCGCCAACACTGCCCAGGGTCTTTTCATTGAGATGTTTTTGACTGCCGAGCTTGTGTTCGTGGTCATCATGCTTGCTTCTGAGAAGCACAAGTCGACCTTCCTGGCTCCTGTCGGCATCGGCATCACTTTCTTCCTGTGCGAGCTGATTGGTATGTTAAGACATACCTCCCCTTTGCTGATTCCATGCTCTTGTGCTAACCCACAGCAAGGTGTCTACTTCACCGGGGGCTCCCTCAACCCTGCTCGCTCCCTTGGTCCGGCTATTGTCAACACCAGCTTCCCTAAGTACTTCTGGATCTACTGGATCGGTCCTATCCTCGGCTCTCTCCTCGCTTGCGGCTTCTACGCCCTGCTCAAGTCCCTTCGCTGGAGGGAGTGCAACCCTGGCCAGGACTGGTAAGCAGCTTTGAGGTATTTGCGGCGTCATGAGCATAGGCTGATCGTCATCAGGAATGAAGTCGAGAAGCTCGAGGCCAAGAAGCAGCTTCATGACAAGACCTATTCCCAGTCCTCTGGCGACCATGCTGTTGCTTGAGCGATGATATTTTCATATTTGAGTTTTCACCAATCCTGAATCTTGTATTTTTACTATCCCCTTGCATAGCATGCTTGCATCTGGGCTCATGGTTTCACCGTCATGTGGGTTGTTGGTTTGGGCTTGGGATGCATGGGCTGTGGAGAGACGGATTGGTTCTAAAGCAAACTATGATCATGCTATGGGAGACGAGCAGGTTTTTGGTATCGGGGTTAATGCCTTCCGATGAGTATCAGATACCCGGAGTTTATGCTTAATGAACCTATTTGGGCATGTCATGGCTGTTATTCCAGCCTTGTGGTAATTGTAAACATGTTTTGTCAACCCAAGGGCGTGGTCTGGGTGTCATTTGGGTCCCTTAGTGGAATTGTCATCGCCCTGGGATTCTTACCTTCCATTTTCAGTCAAGGACCGACCCACTAAATGCTCCAACTACTACAACTATTACGTACCACTCCAATCTTTGGATATGCTTATCCAGACTTATAAGTTGATTGTGACTCAAGGTGGCTCTCTTCATGTCATCACAACATCTTATCCCTCAAGACGTATGATGTCTTTCTCCATTCCCCAAATAATGCCCCTCATCCTTCGCCCAGCGACAGAGAAAGACGCCTTCCGTCTAGGCTGCATCGGCCGCGATGCCTTCCGCCACCATGTTTCGCGCGACCTCTTCCCTCCACACCTGCGCAGCAAATCCGAGTCCGGCGATCCAGATTTTGACGAAGCCGAATGGCGTGGTATGCGAACAGTTCGTCGCATGAAGGAGGGCAAGCCTGCTTATGTCGTTGTTGACGTGTCTGAGGGGGGAATCCCCGACGAAGAGGGGCTGGTAGTTGGGTTTTGTCAGTGGGAGTTGCCTTCAGAGGGGCAAGAGAAGAAGCAGAACTTTGAGGATGATGCGAATGCGGATCGGCTGCCGCCGATTTTGGACTCGCAGGCGTACCATGCCATGGGGGAGGTAATCGATAGGGAGTCACACAAGATCTTGGGGTCTGAGGGGTACAGCAAAATGTGGTGTAAGTATTCCCGAGTGAGGTTGAACGAGACACTAACCGTTTAGTCTTGTTGTTTCTCGCAGTTGACCCACAACATCAACGTCGGGGTGTTGGCCGCATGCTTATCCAGCATGGCCTTGAGCTGGCAGCGAAGGATGGAAGAGATGCCTTCCTCATTGGCACTCCTGAAGGGCGTTGCTTGTACCAGAAGTTGGGCTTTGAGGTCATCGGAGAGCCGTTTTACTTGGGGAGCACACTTCACTATCCAATGCTATGGAAGGCGCCCAAGGTGTAAGGCATGAGCATCTTATGAATTTCGGAAAACCATAACGACAACAGGACAGAGAGCACATGTAACCAGCATGTCATTAAAGCTCCAATAAACCCTCCCTTTTGGGTATCATTAATTACTTTCAAGCAGGTCCAACGGGCTTGCCAGCACCTCCCATGACATCCCCTTTCATTTCCCGGCTAACCATTCAAGGTCGCGAACCCTGTATACCTCCTTTTCGTAAGAAGGCTCGAACTTACATTGAGGTCACAGCCTCCTTAGCAGGAGACTTCTCGGTCGGCGTGACATCGCCCGAAATCTTCTGGCCTTCGACAGGCTGCGCCTGGATGGTCTGGGTCTTTTCCCTGCCAACCAGATCGCAGAAAAGAGCCTTGGTGGTCCTGGCCAACGTGTCACGGCTCTCCCAAATGGGGAAGAGACCGACACCGATGAAGGAGCAGAAGATCCAGATGATACCGACAGTAACCCAGCCGGTGAAGAACTTTTTGCTGAAGATGTAGCCGGTGCCGTATAAAGGCATGGGCCACAGGACGAGGAAGCAAATGGTCTATTCACACAGTTAGGGCATGTCTCAATTGAAACTCATAGAAGAGAACTCACCATAAGAACAGTGACAGTTTTGCTGATTTTGGAAGCACGCTTGAGCTTCTTCTGCTCCTCCTCAAAGTTCATCAAAGCACGGCCGCCAGGAATCTCTTCCAGGTTGAGGCCAGCCTCCTCAGCAAGGTCTTGGTCATCACCAGGCTTGATGTCAAGCATAGACTTCCAGTCGTACTTGGCAATACCGAAAATAGCAGTGAAGACGGCCACGAAGACAATGGGGGAAAGTAGGGCCACGACGTTGCCAGCAAGCATGGGGTTGTTCCGACCAGTGCAGTCGACGGTAATTTCGTTGCACTCCTTCTTGGCAGTGACGAGCCAAGCAATGACGGCACAGATGAAGCCAAGTACGGGGGAGAGAGTGGCCGCCCACTTGTTCTGGCCAGACCTGGCAGGCTGTCAGTAACTTGCTCAAAGCGAGCATCAGGGGAGAAAAACCACATACCAAAGCAGCGTGAGAGTAGCGGGCAGCACAGCGGCAGAGATGATCACACCCATGAGCAGGTACAGATAGCCCATGGAAATCCCAGCATACCAAAGACCAACTGCTACAGTAGCGATGAAGAAGCCATAGCCAACGACGAGGGTGTGACTCATGTAGATGAGACGCTTGCCGCTGGCCTGAGGGTTGATGTACGTGCGGTACAGGTCATAGGTGATGATGGTGCTAACAGCAATGAGCTGACTTGACGTGGCACTGGTCACAGCCATGAAGACAATGAGGAGAGTTGCAACGGCACCGCCTTTGCCGAGCATGGCCACAGCAGCGTACGGGAGAACCAGACCAGCGGAAACATCTTTGTCGAGCATGCGGTCGGGATACGTTGGGAAGTGAGGAGTGTTCTCCAGAGCGAGAGCCGCAAGGCCCATGGTTGTCGCCGTCAGCCAGGGAATGGCGAACCACGACAGACCGCCAATGATGTAGCCCGGGAGAGCATGAACGGGCGAGGCGGCTATAGCCTTGTTGTAGTAGCCATTGTCGAGGAAGACAGTACCGAAGTTTCCTGAAAACAAGGAATCGTCAACAATCTCAGGTCGACGGCACCCATTGTGATGAGCTGCGTGCCAAGTCTGGTGGTATGGTGATGCACATGGACGAAACGTTTTGGCTGGGCCTCAAGCTGGTGTGGGGCCAATGGCACGGTTCCCGCCCCCACTTGGTGGGCGGGGTAGGCCCCCACATCTCCCGCTCTTGCGGCTCTGTCTAGACGATCCTTGCCCAGATCCCTGTCGTTCGATCACGCCCTTGGACACCAAAACTTCTAAATTCTGCTAAATAAGAAACTTACCGACAATGTTAATCACGAAGAAGATGGCGCCCTCGCGGGACCGCATGGTGAGATAGCTGCCGTCCTTGTTGCCGTCGACCGGGTGGCGCGCGGCAGCCTCGACTAGGAGATCCCAGACCTTGCCTGGGGACCCAAGAAGGTCGTTCGTGGCATAGGTCGTCAGAGAGAAGACGATGATGATCAGTAAGAGGATAAAAGTGTGGGCCCAGTCCGTCAGAATGGTAGCCTTGAGACCACCGACAAGAGTGTAGGCAATGACACCAACGGGCAGCAGGTAGACTAAAAGCGGAAGATCGATGTTAGTGACTGAAAAAGCAAGGTTGGGTTAATATTTGAGGAAACTCACTAGCAGCAATGGTGTGCATTCCTGTCAGGGCATTGACGGTGGCAGAACCACCGACAATGAGCATCAGGGACACCAGGATGTTGGTTGCCAGGCCGAAGATCATGAAGACAATGTGTGTCGCGGTGCCATAGCGGGCCTTGACGACCTCAAGGTACGTGTGGGCCGCAGGAGCCTTTTTCTTGAGCTGGATGGCGAGAGTAGCGAAGAGGAGAATCTGAACTGTAGCACCGGAAGCATACCAGAAGGGGCCGGAGACGCCATAACGATAGCAAACACCCGTTGATTGCAGGAGAGTGGCAGCCCAAGTCCAGGATGAGACGACAGCTGATGCGACTAAACCGGACTTCACAGTACGACCGGCTGTGTTGAACATTTCAGATGTCTGAAGCTCGCGGTTATAGCGCTTTAAGATGTAAGTGACCGCAATCATGCCTGACTTCGTATTAGCAGGACGGCTGCATAAACAAGCCAAAGTCGTTGTCGGGTTACTTACCGAGGGCAAAGAAGCCACCAAGACCGAGGACGATGGCATAGCCAACGCCCTGGCCCAGGGCAGCAGCTTTGATGTGCTCCTTGTTTTCCGGGGCGTGATCCATCCTCGCTAATAGATGGAAGCCGATCCAGAAGGCAATGTGAGGTGAGTTGCGCGAGCGGGCTGGGGGAAGGATCAATAGGACCTGAGGGGTGAGGGAGATGTCAGCGTGTTATGTATCCTGTGTCTCGGAACCCGTCGATGGAGGCCGGTCTTCCAATCTTCGTTCTCTAATGGAGTGAGAAGCAGAAGCCGGCATCGATACCACCCTGCATCGACACCGGTCTCTATGCTTATCTGCCCAACATCCGTATCAGATGTGAGTACAGCCCACACTCTCGGGACGAGATCTCCTTTTCTGGCTATCCAGCAGAGAGCATCGCGCATGCTGCTTATCGATCTCAAGCCACTGAAAGCGCGAGACCCGAGATGAGACCCAGGGAGCTTCAACGCCAAGAGAGATGTCTGGCTAAGACTCAGAGTCCCCCCACCTGTGCCGTTCCCAAAAGGTCTAGATACGGGAGTGGGCAGTGGGTGAGGACCGCAGTCGGCGTCACTTATCTGCGAATTGGCAGTGGCAATTGACCAGGACCCAATCCATCAGCGAGCCATGTTACCGGTGGCTTGTGCCACCTGGAGACGTGTTATCGTCCTCATTCGTCCTAGCATCCCAAGGGATGTGGGACGGCTGGTGGACGGTTCAACCCGAGAGGGCGGGCTCCGCGGGAGCTGGTGCTGCAACTGCACGCCGAGACAGAGAGGGAGATCGGCCCCCTGCAGCATCTTGTTAGCATCTGCCTAGCGACGTCGCACTGGAAGCGCTGGACCTTGGGGACTGCCACGGTCAGCAAAAGATAACATGAATCGATCAGTCACGCTTTGGTCGCTCTGTGTTGCACCCGTTGTCGGGGAGGATGTGGGGTAGGTGCGCTAAAGGCTGAGGACAGGGGTTAGAGGCCGCAAGCGTAGGTGTTAGTAGGCCGGCGCAGAGCCTCATCGATGAAGCCCAGGACGTCTCCAAAACTTTTTGCTCTGCGCTATGTTAGTGCACTCTCTCAGCGTCCTGACTTCTCGGTTTGTAGTCGCGATAGCGAGGGACGAAGTTCTTAGGCTGCTGTTATGTTGTTGGACTGTGAACACGGTGGAGTTGATAAGCAATCCTATCTGCTGTGCTGCGGTGCAGGCCACCGAGGCATAGGAAACATCGTTCAAAAACCTTTCAGCAATATAGTCTTGTCATTTCAGGCATTGCGTCAGAGAATGGATGAAACCGTATGTGGTCGTCAAGCAGCGACAGGTCACGATGCTTAGTTGATGATATTGAGGAATGGTTTCTGACCGTTACGAATTTCGAAACCGATAAGGGCCAACCGACCAGGCACAGGGAGTGGGAGGCTGACTGAGTTTGACAGGGATTTCCTTATCTCTGTGCACCTAGAGTTTCAATTGGAAGCACATGGAACCGGAGATAACAGAAGCTCACGCTGATTGGTCGCCCCGCAGGAAAGTGGGGCTAACGTGGGGACAGGATCGGAGGTTGACTGACGAAGCATGCCAAGAAGACAGATGGAACTTTTCCGTGTGCCGTCCTCGCCAAGGCCAAGGCCGTGGTTCAAGCTTCTGCTCGTCGCACCAAAAATGAGCAAAACATCCCGAATCAATCCCGTACCCATCGAGCTCTGCGGTTTTCTCATTACGGTCAACTAATATTAAGAATTTTTTGAATCGCATGTTCGTTGATTACTACTGCGGAATACCAGCCATCATTAGCACCTTTTCAGCGGCTCGTTCAAGGAGCAAGGAAAGCAAATAAATGTTCACCCGTTGGTTTGGGGGGCGGCGAGAACAGGACCCTGGGAACACGGCTGATTTTGGGAGAAACCTTAAGCAGGGATCCTACCACTTTGCCTTCCTAGGAGCCCTTGAATAACCTTACGTCCTTCAATAAAGCTCTGGCCTACATACAGTCCCAAAGGTTGTTCACACTACAAATACAAGAATCGCTTTACAATCGAGATCAAGAATGCAGTCAAGCTGTGGTGAGTGTTGGGGCCGTTGGCCGGATTTTGCTTCCGACACTGGTAATATCATTCACCATGAGATACCGCCCTCAAGTCATCAACTTATCCATTGGTGGCTCCATCCTACAGCCCACGGAGCCTGTGCGCTCGGGTGCCTGAATAATCATTGTCCTTCACGAAAGTTCCCAGCAAAGGCTACTAAAATTGTCGACACATGGCGCGCTTCTCGACTTTCCGGATTTCCTCTCAGGTTGACCGAGCAAGGCACAGCAAACACAAAGGATCACTAACTATTCGCGATGCAAGGTTTTTCCCTTCTAAAACCATAATGTGAAGTTCTCGCCTCCCAAGGAGAGCGAACAGTTGAAATCCAAGTTGAAAAGAGCTATTAGGAGATCTGCAGAGTATGGCCTCGCTACATACACACCATCTTCAAGTTGACTCCCCGCCCACTATATTCAAAATATTCTCAGTAGTCGCGTATCGTCTCGTCGGGGATTTCCTTCAAGGGGCCGGGTCGCAGTGCCCGAACTCCGGCTGGCATCCAGCAATCCAGCCACAGTACTGGTCACCATCACCGCACCAGCCAAACTGACTGCAGCACCGCCCCCAAGTCGATCCCAAGCAGGTAACGCCATTACCGCAACGGCCATCTGTCGTGCTGACCATGCCAGGAGGAATCGTGACAATTGGCGTGGGCGATGCGGTAGAGGATGTCGTCGTGCTGCTGGTGGTGATGGTAGTGGTGCTAATGGTTGAAGGACTTGCCGGTGGCGCTTGAGAAGTGCTCCTGGTGGTCGGCGAAGTCCCGTTCGAAGCTGGAGGGGCCGGAATCCCGGGTACGCCAAAGCAGGCACCGAACTGGCTCTGGCAGCCCGCGCCACAGTACTCAATCGAGCTTCCACACCAGAAGAACTGCGAGCAACAGGGCCCAAAGTTCGGGTTGCCAATGCAAATGGTGTTGTTGCCGCACTGGCCGTTCGTCGTGACCAGGAGAGGACCGGTTGGCGTAGGGATCACAGACGTGCTGACCGTGCCGCTTGAAGGGGAGATGACCTGGCTGGTAGTCGTCGTGGCCGTGCTGCTGCTCGTAGTGGCAGCCGTACTAGATGTGGTTGTCGTGCTGATTGTAGTAGTTGGAGGCGTCGGCGTCGGCTTCGGCCAACCACAGACTCCTGGAGATTCCCGAGTTAATCCATGATTTTTCCCATTCTCGGGATTATTTCCCGGTTTATCCGTTGTTCTCTTACCATATTGTGTTTGACAGTTAAAGAGCGGATGGCAGTGATCAATCGAGTCACCACACCAACCATACTCGGAGCAGCACAAGTCGTTTGGGCACCGACCGAAGCTGCCACCGCATTGGGTACCTGCTTGCCGCAGGCCAAGCTGAGCGTAGTTTGTAGTGGCATTGCGATGACGTGCCTGCAGTCTAGACAACAGCCGGCGGCCGATCAACTCGGTATCGCTTCTCTGCTCAACCGGAATACCTGCTAGCGCTCGCATCCAGCAAAGTGCCGTTGTCATTTCAACGTACGTCAGGAGCTTCATCGTCGTGTCGGAATTACGAAGTCAGCCGCAGGGGAAAAAGATTGTTCCTGGACGATCACCTCGATGGCCTAGGTAGACATCGAATGAAGATCTAGTCCATGTCACAAGATGTGCATTGAAGGGGGCAGCTCCAGCATTTGAAGAAAGCACGATAGCACCTTCATCTTACTCGGTATTATTCCGACCTTGCCCCCTTCAAAGACCCGGCATCCGGCTGTAGATCAAGACCCGCAAAAAGTGTTGGGCTGCCCAAACATACTGGGATGTGAAGCGTATGCCAATGCTGCTCTGGAATTAATCAAATAACCCTAAAGGTAACAACCAATACTATCCGGAGCATTTGAAAAGATACAAGAGAGAGACTCTAGAATGAGGCTAAATACCTAGTCCGCCGATTTTACCGAGGTGCGTATACATATGAAAGAACATCGGCTGGAGTTATCCCGTCACCGAACCCAGATTCGGCCTTGGCGGTAACCTGCATCCTTAAGCGGGATATGCTAGACTAATCCTGCCTTCTCGGCATTAAACTTGGTATTTGGAATTCATTACTATACTGTGTGCAACTCTTAGACCTGTATGCGAAGGGGGTGGACCATTCTCCCGGATGGGATGGCGCAGTTGGAGTGCGTTGCGCCTGGAAAAGACCTGCTGTGACCCTGCAGGTCGTCGCGAATAGGCTCCCTCCACCTCGCACTCCCTTGGTCTCTGACCAGCTCAACCCCTCTCAGATCAGCTGGATTAGTGGACTGGAGCTACGTGCTGGTTTCCCCCAAGGCTTTTCCCGGCGCAATGTACTTAGCAGCCTATTGCCCGCCGTGGGCACGACCCGGCTACCTAGATACGGTAGATGGCCGTAAAACATACATACATGCATACAACATCCGGATGAAATGGATGTGCCACAGCAACGTACATATATATGAAAGTCACACAGATACCGAGCGGCAAAATACTTCTAGAAGCAATGGATACCTGTGTTGCTTCTCGATACGGCATTCTAGTAGATAGAACTTCCCGAAACAGCAACAACTCATTCATATGACCGTACCTTCAGCACCAACGTGTTCCGGGCTTCAGCCCCAAAATGATGACATACAGTCACGGATCCAAGCAGCAATGTCCCCGGTAGGAGCACAATGCTGAATTGAATGCATTCATTGCCACACACTCAAGCATCCACTCGGTTGTAGTCACGCATATCGGCAATAGTGCATCGTCTATTATCAGACGACATGTGGTTGACATCAGGAAAACCATTGTTCTTTATTCGCAGTCCTTTGATCCGGACGGAGTTAGTTGGTACATCTTCTACATGACTCAGGCATCCTCAACTAGGGTCAGTGTTTGTCTTTGCCGTCCTTCTTCTGTTGGTCCTCCGCCAGCAGTTGTTCTGCAGCCAGAAACTCGTCATGTTTGAACAGCAGCTCCATGAAGGGTCTACTGTATGGCTTCTCCATTCGGTCAGGCAATGGGCCGGAGTAAAACTTGCGTACCTCCTCCTCTACCCCTGGAACTCGAAGCCCGGCCGGGCCCGCATTGGACAGCAACATAATGAGGTTACACCGGGGAACTCGCAGTTTGTCGAACAACCGTAAACGACTCCCAACTGTAGCTTCGTCACCAGCGTAGACTCCTCGAAACAAGATTTCGAGGGCCGCTGCAGACTCGATGGCAGTGCCAGCCCCAGCTGCATGGGTGGGCATCATGAGGTGTGCTGCATCTCCAATGATGGCAGTCTTTCCACGGACAAAGCTTGTAAGTACATCCCGCTTGTATAATCGATGAACCTTAATACCATCCTCGTTCGCCATCTTAACCATCTGCTGCAAAGACGGATGGAAGTTGGCAAGAGTCGAAAGCACTTGGTTTTGAGACACCGGGCAGTGCCAGTGATCCTCGTCTCCCTCTCCTGGTTGAGTTGGATGGACGACGGCGACATTCAGCACCTCGCCTCTACGGCACTGGTAGGTTACCCAAAAGATATCATTGTGCGTATCAAGCCAAGATATGAACCCGGGTCGGTTGCTCGTGTACAACGAGTTGAGGATCGGGTCTGCCATTATATCCTTCATGGAGATGAGCCAGCGATAAACGGATCGGCCGGTACACTTCAAAGTGGATGGCTGTCCCGTAAAGTCTGCGATCAGGCGGCTCTGGCAGTCTTTAGCACGAGAATTCAGTGGTATTGCTTCGCGAGAGGCAATCAAACTTACATGGGCTCCATCGGCAACAATAACGAGATCCGCCTGGACGGTACGGCCATCAATAAGCTTGACAGCACCTCTCTCACAGTCCAATCCTACTGCCTGTGTGCCAAGCTGGATATCTACTGGCGGTCCCCTCATAATCTGTGTTTGCTCCTTGCTCCCTCTCCCGAAATCCGAGGCTGCACAAGTAGCAAGCTCTCTCAACCCACGATGGAGATCTACACGGTGCAAGGACCAGACGCCATGGCCAAACGTCCTGGGTAGATCTTCGTATTCCTCATGCTGCAAGACAGTTGTTGAGCCAGCCATGAACATTAATTTCTGCTGATTGGGCACTGCTTTGGCCTTTTCCATGTCAAACCCCCAACGGTCAAGTACCAGCGTGGCGTTTGGGGTGATAGTGATCGCAGCTCCAATCTCGTTCTTGAACTGGGACTTTTCGAGAACCTGAACGTGCCAGCCCGCCCGACGGAGCGCAATAGCTGCCGAAAGCCCTGAAATTCCCGCCCCTACAACGACTGCCCGTGCAGGTCGGCAGATGTCCAGTTTTATCTTGCTAGGCGTCATGACGAGGAAGATGCTGAGTGGTAAACAGCTGCAGTTAGAGTGAAGGCCGCCCTATCTAGACCGAATGTGTGCATTTAACTTTGCCGCGGCTGCCTTGAACATTAGATACTCCCGATCAGCTGGTAGTTCCATGACTTGAACAGTCCTGGAAAGAAGGAGCTGCTTCGGAAACCGCCATCTGTTATCCGATAGGTGTTACCTGCTGCTTCTTGGCAGTTGAAGCTGGCCAACACTCATCTAGTCCTATACACTCTGCGTAACACGTCTGGGAAGGTCAAGATGTTTTGCATTACAACTGCAGGAACTTAAAAGATAACGGAGCCTGAAACCAATATAGTGAACATCCCATGCTCACCCAAACACCAACCCGAGAACCAAACCCAGTTCATATAAAAAAAAAAATCTAAGGTCACCACGTGCCCCACACAAGAAGATTTCTGGAGCTGAAGCCGACCCGAAACGTATACTCCCCTTCAGTCAGCATGACCCAGTTCTGCCGCATCACATCCCAATAGCTGAGATCTCGACGGGTCAAGCTAAACATTACTGTTTGTGTCTGTCCTGGCTCGAGATACACCTTGTCAAAGCCTCTGAGAACCCGGACGGGGAAGTCAATCCCGTCTTTGGGAGGATACTCGAGGTAGAGCTGGGGCACCACGGCACCGGCAAGTGACCCGGTATTCGTTACGTCAACAACAACGTCTACATATACATTCCACAAATCTGGATTGCCCCCTTCATCTCCGCCAGCATCACTCAGCCGCTGGACTTGGTCGTAACCGTCAGGGTAGGGGTAAGGCCCAAGTTTGATGTCATCCACATATTCCAGATAGGGGTAGATGTACTTCTCTAGCCGTCGCAAGCCGGGAGGGAACAGCGCCTCGCTCTTTGATGGAATCTCGGTAGGATATGACGGGGGCTGGGCTGCAGGAGCCGGCCGTGGAGCCGGGAGGGCAGACTTTGTCCTCCGAGGCTTAACTTGCAGGTTGTTTAACGCGAACGTCGTGTAGCTGAGACCGAAGCCAAATTCGAAGCGTGGCTCGATCTTGTGCTTGTCAAAATAGCGATAATCGATGTACAAGCCCTCAGAAAAATCTTGCTGAGGCACAATACCGTTGGGCAGATACATAATTTTGCCACCTGGGCCATAATCGTCGAGTGATTTACCGATGGTGAAAGGAAGATGACCTGATGGGTTAGTGTCACCAAAGAGAACATCAGCCAGTGCGTTACCAGACTCTTGGCCAGGCAGGTTAGCAAAGAGCACAGCCTTGACGTTGGGTAGCTCAATCCACTTCTCCATTACGACAGGCCCGACCGAATGAATGACGACGATGACATTGCCTACTCCAGAACCGCAGTGTGATGCGACATTGATAATGAGATTATCCCCGCCTTTCTGCAGGTTCAAGTTAGGTCGATCTCCGCGCACATCGCCATCGGACACGAAGCCCTCGCCCGAGTCAGCGTTGGCGAAAACAATGCAAAGCTCCAGTTCGTCTAAGACAGCCTTCTCACTCCCAAAGGCAGGCTTGTTTGTCAAGTACTCGTAGAGTTCGACCTTTGAGGCGTTGAACTCGCGGCGAAGAGCCTCTATGGGAGTGATGAGATAAGGAAACTCCACAGCCCCAGAGCCCCATCCGGACCCAAGAGTTCCTTGGTTGCTAGAATGAAAGACTCCGTTAGTTCGGATGCAGGAACGGGGACGAAACGTTAACGAAGCTCACCATGCGCGGTCTTTGCAGTAGTTTGGCCCTTTTCCAGGCCCAGCATCTTCGCCAAAGATGCCGATCTTGAACTTTCCAGTATGTCTCTTGCCTGTAGCTCTTTCGACAACTTTGCGTCTTATCTTCAGCTTGGAGTCGTCCAAACCAGAACGGCTCAGGGGCAATAGGCCTTCATTTTTGAGCAAGACAATTCCTTCGGCGGCGATCTCCCGGGCAATGATAGAATGGTTGGCTTGTACGTTTATAAAATGGTTCACAACCACCATTTCTTGGGGACTTGGGCTGCCGGGTGCTATGATGCCCATGCGATCATTTGTCCAAGAGGAAAAGTTGGGAGGGCGACGTGGGAATTTAGTTTCGTCATCCTGACCAAGTTGATACCAAGCGGCTACAATACGTGTAACCATGTCGTTGAGCCGCTCGACAGGAACACTGCCATTCAGCACAGCCTTTGTTAACTGTGGTCCCCAGAGGGATTCACCGTCAGCCCAAGACAAGCCATCCCCAGGCATCGTCATGTCCAATCCTGCCAGTGCAGTGGCGACACCGGCGTGCTGAGCAAGCCAGTCGCTCATAACAAACCCCTGGAAACCAAGTTCGTCCTTCAGAATACCGTTGAGAAGCTTGCTGTTCGCACAGGCATACGAGTTGTTGACCATGTTGTACGAGCACATGACAGCAGCCACACCTGCCTTAACAGCATCTCCAAACGGCCAAGCATACAGCTCATGCAATGTGCGATCGTCAATATTGGCGCTGATGGCATGGGGTGTCCCCCATTCCCATGGTTGACGGAAGTGCTCTTGTTCATTGCCAACAAAATGCTTGATTGTGGCCATGACGCCTTCGCTCTGGATGCCGCGGATGGTCTCGGCGCCGGCGACGCCTTGCAGATACGGATCAGCTCCGAAACCCTCCCAATTCCTGCCGCCGGCAGGCATGCGGCCCAATGGCCCGACGCATGGCCCCAAGATCACGTTGATCCCCTTCCGCCTGGCCTCAATAGCATGTGCCTTGCCTCGTGCGTACATGAGCTGACGATTCCATGTAGCACCCACGGTGATGCCGGCAGGGAAAGCCGTGATGTTGTCAGCGAACCGGACACCCAAGGGTCCGTCCTGGAGCTGCAGTTGTGGAAAGCCGACGTAGACAGCGGGACCAGTTGTGCCCACGGCCAGGCCCATCTGCCACCCCGTCCCGGTCGTGATGTTGACCTTTTCGGTAAGAGTCATCCTGCTCACTAATTTGGCTGCCTTGGCGTAGCTGGCAGCCCACGACTTGGCAATGCCGCCTTTCGGTGTCGGGTACCAGGGAGGACTCTGACCGTATGGTGGTTCAGCGCCGTATTTCTTATAGACAAAGAAGCCACCAGCGCTCAGGACGATCCAAAGCACAAAGATGGCAGCAAGAGTTCCGATGCAACACCGACTTCTCCTTCCAAATGTACGGAAAACGCACGCACACCATCGCGACTTAGGTTTGTTAACGGAAGGTTCGGTTTGCGATTGTTGCGATGTTTCGTAGGGATCGTGGCGAAGGTACTCGGTAGCTTCGAGATCAGAATCGGAGTCAGGGCCGTTGCTCTCAAGCGATCGCCTCTTGCCATCGCGGAGGAGGACGTCTCTCGTTTCGTCGCGTACCATTTCGTGGTGGGACAGGGAGAGGGTGACCGCGTCAGACCTGTCGTCTGAAAATCAATGAGTGCGGATAATGACGAAGCATCTGTGATGGAACGCAAATACGCGGGGTAACTCAATGCTGAAATGCAAGGTGCAGGTGTATTTCGCTAGACAAGGCGCGCGGTACTGCTGTCATCAGCCGCCAAGGAGTGTTGGGTTGCTGAGCTGAAACTTGGAGAACAAAGGTCGTTAGGCCGGTTGTGGACCCACATATGGGTCCTGCTTAGGAATGAACTCTGATTGAACCCATGGTGGGCATGAGTGGTCTTGGCTTTCGTCATACTTCATCTACCACAGCCCCGCCTGTACTATTCCTCACTTCGACCTAGTAACATATTTTGGAATGGGCGATTTGACCTTACAAGAAGTTAAGTTCATTCGGATGGCTATCTTGTCTGCCCCTATGCTCCCTCGGCTTCGACAATGTTTTGTTTGACAGGGAGAAAGCTGTCAGGGCTCACCGAAATTGAGTCGATACCAGCAGATACAAGGAACTTGGCAAACTCGGGATGATCACTCGGCGCTTGCCCACAAATACCAATTTTCCTCCCTTCCTTGCGTGCAACAGAAATTACCCGAGCAATCATCCACTTGACAGCCTCGTCCTGCTCACTGAACAAATCGGCCAACTCGCGAGAGTCGCGGTCCACGCCGAGGGTCAACTGCGTCAGATCGTTCGAGCCGATGGAGAAGCCGTCAAAGTATTTGCAGAACTCGGCAGCCAAGATGACATTTGACGGGATTTCGCACATGACATAAACATGGAGACCATTCTCACCTCGTTTAAGTCCGTTTTCTCCCATTACATCCAAGACCTTCTTTGCCTCAGCCACTGTTCGACAGAAGGGGATCATGACAATAGCGTTGGTGAATCCGAGTACTTCTCGCAACTTTTTGATGGCGCGGCACTCGAGAGCAAACCCTTCTTTGTACTGAGGCGAGTAATAGCGTGACGCTCCCCGGAAGCCTAGCATTGGGTTTTCTTCCCTGGGCTCAAACTCGTCTCCACCAAGAAGCCCAGCATACTCGTTGGTCTTGAAGTCGCTCATACGGATGATAGCAGGCCGGGGATACACCGTCGCACAAAGAGATGCCAAACCACGGGCGAGAGTGTCGACGAAGTAATCCGGTTTGGTTGTGTATCCAATGGTAAGTTTGGCGATCTCCTTCTTTGCATCCTCATCTTTGAGCTGATCATATCGCACAAGTGCCATAGGATGAACACAGATGGCGTTGTTGATGACAAACTCCATACGGGCAAGGCCAATGCCGTCGGATGGAAGTCTCCACCAACGATACGCAGCAGCGGGATTGGCGAGGTTGAGCATCACATTTGTCTGGACAGTTGGCATCTTGGCCAAGTCCACAGTGTGAGTAGTGATCTCTGAGACTCCTTCGTAGACATACCCGATATCACCCTCGGCGCATGAGACAGTGACATCTTGGCCAGTATGGAGCACGTATGTGGCGTTCCCTGTGCCAACCACTGCGGGTAGACCGAGTTCGCGACTGACTATGGCAGCATGGGATGTTCGACCTCCATGGTCTGTGACGATCCCCGCGGCTTTCTTCATAATGGGTACCCAGTCTGGGTCTGTGGAACCTGTAACTAGCACAGAGCCCTCGACGAATTTGTCGATGTCCTTGGCCGATTCGATCATGCATACCCGACCAGTCACTGCTGCGTCTCCAATTGAATGTCCCGTTGCTAAGATGCGCCCTTTCTTGCCAACATCGTAGGTTTTAATGACCGCAGAAGTATTCCTGGAGTGAACCGTTTCCGGTCGAGCTTGCACAATGAACAACTCGCCAGTGGTTCCATCTTTTGCCCATTCCATATCCATTGGACACCCATAGTGTTTTTCAATGGTACAAGCCCAGCGGGCCAACTGCAAAATATCTTCATCGCTTAGCACAAAGGCGGCACGCTCGGCTCTCGAGGTCGGCACGTTCCTGGTCCGTATCGTTTCGCCATCACCATAGATCATTTTAATCTCTTTTTCTCCGCGCTTCTTCTGGACGATGGGCACAAGGTCGGGCCTGTTATTGAGAAGAGGTTTAAAGACTTGGTACTCATCCGGGTCGACAGCCCCTTGCACAATATTTTCTCCAAGACCCCATGCCGCGTTGATCAGGACAATCTGGTCGAAGCCGGATTCTGTATCCAGAGAAAACATCACGCCGCTTGCTCCGTGGCGGTCTCCTGCACGAACCATTCTCTGCACTCCAACTGACAATGCGATGCTCAAGTGATCAAAACCCCTGGTTTGTCGATAGCTGATGGCCCTGTCTGTGAATAGAGAGGCATAACAGCGACGACATGCATCCAAGAGCTGGTCCTCGCCGGAGACGTTCAGATATGACTCGAGCTGGCCGGCAAAGCTCGCGGAGGGCAGGTCCTCTGCTGTGGCACTGGAGCGAACAGCCACGCTGAGGTTTTTGATTCCGGCCTTCTCTGAAAGCTGTCGATATGCCGTCTTGATTGCCGCAGCTGCGTCTTCCGGCCACTTCCCGCCAACGATGAGTCTCCTCACAGCCTGCCCTGTCTCGGCCAAAGTTGCCTGTCCAGAAGACCATTGCTCGATGAGTTGGGCAATCTTATCTCGGAGACAATTGGTATCGATGAATTGCCAAAAGGCGTCGGAAGTGGTTGCAAAGCCGGGAGGGATGGCAACTCCTTTCGATGCCAGACCTCCAATCATCTCGCCAAGTGAAGAGTTCTTCCCTCCAACAGACGCTACATCCTGGCGAGTTAGGTGTTCAAAGTTTCGAACCAGCGGTTTGTTTGTGCTGTGATCGGGTGCCATTGTGAGATTGTTCTTAAACAGATGTAATCTGATTGCCGGATGTTGGCCTGTTGGAAGGAAGTTGATGCCCAATTTATAATGGGCATTGGTTGATGTTTCATAAGTCTAGGACTTTCTGGCAGGTCGTTTACCGGACCAGACTTTAGTAAGTAATGGGACCGTCACAGTGACGCCGATGGAATGTTCGTTGAAAGTGGTTCCACTCATCAGTTGACTTTGATGACATATCCGGGGATTTAAGACCCGCCTGATTCAGGTACCGTTTGAGAGTGTTGAGCATCACAATGACAAGGGAACTGCAACTTGGTTTGGAATTCACAAAATACGGTGGTGATTTACAGTAAATCATGGGATTTTCTCACTCTCTGAACAACATCGAATACATTGGAACTCCCGAAAGTTCAAAGGAGATCAGTATAACGGAGACCGTCGTCTTGTAAGCTGTAGTTGTTAGCGAGGTGTGCGACTGAAGCTTTGACGCTTGAGCACAGCATGTCCCTGGAGAGTAAGTGTAAGTGGACCTCGGAGCACACTCTTGTTCAACGGTATCCCTGTCATTGGTGGCAACTGTTCTTATAGCTCTCTGATGCCTTGTCATAGTGAAATCAGGGCACTAAAACATTTTGAATCAAAATCGCTCGACACTTCATGAGACAGAACAACTAATCACCTGTTATTTGCGTTCGAGTGCAAGCTAGGAATACAGGATGTCACCAGTCGTCAAAGATTCCCGGATTGCCATTGTGGGCGTCGGGCAGGTTGGTGGAGCAGCTGCCTATGCCCTTATCTTGGGTTCTGTTGCAAGCGAGCTTCTGCTCGTTGATATTGATGTCAACCTTCGAGATGGGCAAGTCCGTGATTTATCTGACGTGGCCTACAGCATTAACAGCGCCACCAGAGTGCGCGCTGTGGACTACCACGAAGCCGGACAGGCCGATATTATTGTGATCACTGCTGGGTCGAGGTGGTCTTTGGGTATTCTTCCAGTTAGATGCTAGCAACGAGGATCGGTGGCTGATTTAGTGATGCAGGGGAGACCGGCATGCAGCACACATATCGAAATGTCTCGGTGATTCGCAGCGTCGTTCGAGCCATGGCACCATTTAGGTCGGATGCGATTGTTCTGGTGGTGTCAAATCCAGTGGATCTTCTTACATCGATCGCCCAGGAGTGCTGCCGACTTCCCAAATTTCAAGTGTTTGGATCCGGGACTTTATTAGACTCGGTACGACTGCGTGGCCTGGTGGCTGACAAAGTAAATGTAAGCATTACCACGTTTGCTCACCCATTCCCAGAGAAGTCCATTGAGCTCACACCTATACACACAGCTTGCTTCCAGTTCGGTGCAGCTCTCCGTCGTAGGAGTCCATGGAGAGTCGCAGGTTGTTGCTTGGTCGAACGCGACTGTCGATGGCATGCCCGTTGATAAGTTTCTGCCACCAGAGCCTTCTGTGCATTCCGAGCTTGCAAACGAGTGCAAAACAAGACTCGAAAAAATTATCCAAGCTAAAGGAGCAACACCGTTTGGCATAGGGTCTGTCGTAGCAAGCATTTGCTCTGCGATCCTCTACGATAGAGCAGAAGTTGTACCCCTCAGCCACTTTCAGCCAGACTTCGGTTGTTGTTTCAGTTTGCCGGTGATAGTTGGCAGGAAGGGCATTGTCAAAACAATCAAGATGCCGCTGAGTAGTGAGGAATTGTCCGAGTTGTCCAAGTCTGCAGAGAAGCTAGTCGAGATGGTTGAAAGGATCAAAAAGAATCAGTAATGGCTGAAGACTTGCACGCAGATGGCAGACGCAGCTCAAAGTCAAATCGTCTATACTAAGGTATCTAAGCACATGGTTCATGAATCCAGACTCTGAAGGACTCCGTTATACCATCAGAGATCGCATGCTGCCTGTGGCACCCTCCGACAAAAGCAAGACGCATTAACGGGGACATCAGCGGCTGCGATAGCCAGCTGCAGTTGTGGCCGGATCAGCCTCGCTTCCTCTTCACGGTTGAGTCGAAGCAAGCACTCGTGAAAGCCATGAAGAGCCCAGACATTATTGCGGTGCTGCAGCGCTCGCGGAAGAGACTCATCAAAGCCCAGGTCAGCAGCATAAACAGCTAATGCTTCCTTAAGGCGGCCCTGTTCGAGAAGCAAAGCACCGTAAGCATGTCTCGTAGGTTGCATCCAGCCCCATGGTTCATCGTAAGGAAGATTATCATCGAGCGTGATGGCGTGGCGGAGATGAGCCAATCCTTCCTCAATGTTGCCCTTGCGATACTCGAGCTCTCCATCCAGCATGGTGGATGCGATGGCAAGAATAGACAAGCACGTATTGTTGAAGATTGTGCGTGACTCAGGGACCTTTTTGACAGCCTCGTGGAAGAGTCGTCGACTCTCTTCTGCCTCTTTGATCATGCCCACATTGGCAAAGGCGACTCCCTTTCCGTAATGGATCATGGCTGTCGTGTTGCAGTAGAGATCCTGGTCGTCGGGAAGCTTGAGCCCGATGAGGTCGTGCCAAAGACCGAACCGGATTAGGACGTGAACCCTCAGGGAGAGGAAGCCTTCGAGCCAGTCAGCCATGGGTGGGGACTCAGTGCGCAGCAAGTCCTCTGAGAGGGTCCGTTCGAGTAGATCGACGGTCTGTAAGGCTACGCGGCTTTGACCAGCGAACATGGCAGCATAAACGCGAAAGTGATAGTTATGGCATCGGTACAAGCTGTAAAAGTTAAGTGCGCCATCTCGGGCTACGAACTTTTCGTCTGCCACGATGGCATCAGTGTTGGAAGAAATTGCCAGGCGATAGTCCCCGCAAAGAACGTCGATATGCGTGGGCATATGGTTCAGGTGGCCGGCGTCCGGCACCAGCGCGCGAAGAGTGTCGGCGGCGTGAAGAGCTTCCTCAGGATGAGTCGACATCTCCATCAAATGGATGTAGAGATGGAGCATCCCCGGATGCCGGGGATGCTTCTTTAGGCTATCGTCTAGGGCTTTCTTGGCTTCCAGGGCGTGCCCTTCAGGGAGAGGTTCGCCGGTGCGAATGTCCCAGAGCCGCCAAGGGGAAAGGTTCATCAGAGCATCGACGTAGATGGCTGTCACGTCAGGATGCTCTGGGTGACTCTGGTAGACCATGCGCATCGCCTCAGCATATTCTTTGTTGAGGAGATAACCATCCTCGACGCTGATAGTCTCTCGGGGATGGCGCCGTTCGAGGGCCACGATGAGGGCCCTCTCTACATCAGAGACACCGCTGCCCGGGCCGGACTTCTCAAGAGCCTTCACAATGGACTGACGCGCCTCACGGGTGCTGGTTTCGAGCTCCAGAGGATCAAATACCCCCCAGGTCTTGTTGTAGTTTGGACCTAGGGCATAGGCCACGCCCCAAAGGGCCATGGCACAGTCTGCATCATGGTCGAGGGCGCGCCGGAAGCACTTGACGGCCTCTTCATGGTTGAACCCATAAACCCACACCAGCCCACGGTTGAACCACTTCTGTGCCTCAGTGGACTTCGTTGAGATTGGCATATAATGGTCCCCGAGGTTGTAGTAGCCGTCGGCGTCGGCGTCTTGCCTGGTGTTGACCCAGTGCATGCTGCGTGTTGCTGTTACCTTGATGTCCATTTTGCGACAGGGGGGTTTTTTTAGCACGCTGCGAGTGGAGTTCGGTTCTGGGGAAAAAAATCTGGGGCAGACGGTTCGGAACAGTGGATCACGCCCAACGTCAGGCTTATATATTCGCTTCCAAATTGCTACAAATCGCCATCTGTTCATCCGGCTTGGCTGGTAAGACAGGATGCTATGCATATTTGGTAATCACTGCGCATTATGCTGACGGGCGCTGTTGACAACGCAAAATTTCGGAGTCGTGATGATTCATTTGTGCCGACGAGTGCGGGGTTCTTTCTGCCCTGTGAACTCCTACAAGCCAAGCGTTGAAACGATTTTCTCCACACGTGGCCCTTCCTGGACACCCGCAGCTGGCATAGTGCCAGCCGGGTCAAAGATGCCAGCTAGGACTTGGGATGATCCACTACGGGATCAAATGTGCGTACCACGGCCACCGTCCCCAGATTTGATACCGTCAACATGCCTTTTTCCAGCACCGATGTGATTGCGGCGTGACATTGACGACGCTGCCCAACTGCTCCCCCGCTCTGCCGTGCGTACCATCGTGCATCTTCGTCCCCCACTGCATCGGCCTCAATATCTGAATCTGGCAGGTTAAAGGGCTCATGGAGTCATCACCTCCTCCGTTCTCCCAGAGATACGCCGTTGTACCATGAACAACGTGCTTTTAGCGTGGTTCTTAGTGTAATCAGGATGATATACTACTGACTGGCGGCAGTGGAGGAAGTTCGACAACGACGACGACCTGGAAGATGCGAGAGCATATATAGCCCAGGAGGTGATTCCTCCTGTCCTCGACTGTCTCTCTGGTTCTGTGAGCCTCTTGACCGGATCTCAGGAGCCGCTGGCTGGACAGTCTATCGTCGTTTTCGATCTTATCGCTCTAATCAACATGAAGTTCTCTCTGACTGCCGCTCTTCTTGCTCTGGTCCCGGCGGCTTTCGCCTTCCCGGCTACCCTTGAGACGGCTGCTGCCACTCTCAAGCGCCTAAGTTTGACCGAGATCACCGATCAGTATCTCTTTTCTCTAACTCTTCCTCAATTCACTGCCAAGCGAAATGCTCGCGACCCCTCTACTCTTATCTGGGATTCGGACGGTTGCACTTCTTCTCCAGACAACCCATTCGGCTTCCCGTTCACGCCGGCCTGCCATCGTCATGACTTTGGCTACCGCAACTACAAGAACCAGAATCGTTTCACTGATGCCAACAAGTTGAAGATTGACGACAATTTCAAGAAGGAGTAAAGATTCCCTCATAACCGTCCCTTACCCATGCAGCGAGGACATGATGTTGACATGATCTTTCCCAGCCTTTACTACCAGTGCAAAGGTGTGACGGCCGAGACTGTCTGCAAGGCCCTAGCAGATGTCTATTACGCTGCTGTCCGCGCCTTCGGTGGCAGAACCCAGTCCAAGAAGCGTGAAGACCAGGAAGATCTCATCCGCGAGTACGAGGAGAAGCTGGCGATTTACAACAAGCTTGTTGCTGAGGCGCAGGAGAGGGGTGAACTCTGGCGTCTGGATTAAGCAGGAATTGTCAGAAGGTTTTAGTGTACATAACATATACCCTGTACATATTCATGTTCAAGTCACGTGCACTTCCCATTCTGTATCATGATAGCAACTGGCTGGTGCAACGCATCTCCTATGCATCAAACCAGTGTTCCTCTTGCGTACTGCATGTGGAAAACGCAATTTGCGCATAACAGAGCGAGCTCAATGCCCGCAGCTCTATATCCTTCCTCGGTATGCCCTTCCAGACTAGCCCATGCTCCTTATTGGTCTCTTGCCTTGTCTCCATTGCTTTTTGAGGATTTGTGTAGTCAAGAGTCAGGAGTGGGCGTTTGAGCATCCTGTTATACTTGGCATAAGCGGTATCTTCAAGGCCCAGTAACCATTCACTTTGCTTTCGCCCAGCATCGGTGCATTATTTGCCCCCGCTGCCTTTCTTTCAGCCATTATCATATTCGTTGTGCTTGCAACGGCAGTCAACTCCGAACATGTAGCGTCCATTGAAAACCCAGCCAGTTGTGAAATGTTGGGCCAGGAAGATATCAACCCAATTATGGTATGGAGCATCCAGCTCACTGGTGGTTTTATCGTCTCGACATTTGGGGGTTGTAATTACAAATATAAGCCACCGCGTTCCCAATCGTGCAGTGTGCCCGGGACTGATCAGGCAGAAGACCCCTGGCACATAGTTCGTTTTGCAGACACTGCAGTGCTTAGTGCATGTCATGCTCTTCTACGTCATTGTAGGAGCCCCAAATCTCGAGAGCATCCGAACTGGCTGAGTCACAACGCTAGGTCATCGAAGTCAAGAGCTACTGACGAAAGGTCGTCAAAGCCGAGAGCCGCTAAGGAAGGACTGAAAGCCTCTGATAAAAGAAAGAAACAGGTATCTTGAGTATGTTAGGCAGATAGATTCATCAGCGCTAACCAGTTGAGGAAAAAACGCACCGAACAATATGCCACAGACAAAAACGGAGATAACAGAAATGGACGATATGTTGCTGCAGAGTTAGAGTTTAGCGATGATAGTGAGAAAGATGACACTCATTATAAACTTGACGCTCAGCTTGTAACTCTGTGACCTCAAGAGCATCCTTGATGAGAAGAGGAGCGGGAAGTTGGCTGACTCTTGCCTCAGAAATAGTGTTTTTAAACATAAAGGTCATAAAGGCAGCTGCCCCTGGGTCTCAATGGCTAATCACTGGATCGGAGAGAAAGCGATTCCTAACTGCGAGAGGATGGCATATAAAGCTTATCGTGTCTTGATCACATTCTGTCTTTGAAGAGGCTTGATACCAAGTTGTATTGATAGCGACTATAGAAATATTTTTTGATGATTTCAATTAGGTCTCGCGTTTCCTGCTAGACCAACGCTCATTCGGGCTTCCGGCCGTACACAACGCGGTGTGGGTACCAAGTATGCAGAGACTTGTCCCTCATCTGTTTGCGAAGATGAGTAACATAGACCTTGATCTCCTCCTTCCTCCAGCCCATTACAGCACCCCAGATGTAGTTGACGTATCCTTATGGGCTGTTAGCATAACTCAGTCACCATGGCATCATGAAAGAAAATGAACTCACCTTCAAGGTCGGCATGAAGAACCATTCCAAAACATGCGCCAAGCTCTTTCTCTTTAGCATCGTCAGTGTGGTCGTCCAAAGGAACCTTAAAATCCTTCACTTGAATGTCCACAAAGCCAGCCTCCTCCATGTACTTCTTCTGGACATCCTCTGAGATGAGCGTGAATGTACGCCCGAACTTTTTCCCGCCCTCGGAAAAAACCTTATACCACTGACCCATTGGACTGTCTTCGGTAACCTCGCCGTTGTAGCCGGTCCACTTGGGTTCCTCTTCATGGTGCTCCAACCAGCCGCCGGGCTTGCAGCAGCGATATGCCTCTTGGTAGAACTTCTTCCAATCGGCAATTGTGCCGAGCATGGTGCGCAAGTGAATAAAATCGAACTCGTTCTCCGACCAGGTCCACTCCTGGTTAGCATCGTCGATCTCGAACCTTACATTCGGCGGGACCCAATTAGGCTGGATGGGCGTGATGTCGGTGCCAATGACTTCGGCGCCGGGATACATGTCGCCCAGGTCGATGGCCCAAATTCCAGTACCAGTTCCGATATCAAGCACTTTTTCCAATCCAGGTCAATCGGAGCCAGGAAAAGCTTGCCATCCAGCAGCAGAGTGCATGCATGGTGATGAATATCCATAGAGGTTAGCATCTGCTCATCGTTGGGCATCCAACCTTCTGCCTGGCCAATTTCACTATGATAACGCCGGCCTAAGATAGTGCGGTAGCGAAGAATGCTGCTGGACAAAGACGTGGTGCTGCTGGCAACATTTCCAAAGCTGGAGTCAGCCTCATATGTGTCATCACTGTCTTTTTACTATATTCTGAATATCAGCTCGGTGTATTTGATGTGCTCAATTCTGTCAAATGCCCACCTGCTCCCAATGAGATGCTGGGAAAATTCCGGCAAGGGTTTGGCCAGCAGTTTCGTCCAAACTGGCTGATTGAGCTGGCTCCACGAATTGGGTCTTTGCGGCTAGATTTCCCGGGGCTAGAGACTTCTGGGTCTCCACAGTGTCAGATGTGTCGTTGCCGGTCATGGTTGAGGGAGAAGGCTGTGCAAGCAACTTGATGAGTGAACCCTCGCGCGACGCCTCCTGCAAAAAGTTGGTGGTCTGATAACTGATTGATTGTTGTCTCAGTGAGGGGAGAAGGCTGAAACAGAAAGTTTGGGTCAGCGCTGTTCATGTGTTATTCATCTTCGGTCACCTGTCCTTGACATGGTTGAATAAGCTTCTAAGCCTCTTTCGTCAGTGCCGGACCAAGCCAACCTAGTTGCCCATATTTAGCACCGACCCCCGAAGCCAGGATAATTTGGCCAGCTGCCAATAGGGAGATTTCTCCCCCTGGCACTGTAGCTATACCATGGTGCTAGCCAAGCTCGAATGCGAGGAAGCCGAAAAGAATGACCAGTCAAATGGTTTTGACATGTAGAGAGAGTCTCCACCTCTAATTGCATGGTCATGCATAGAAATCTTAGGAGCGTTAAATGCATGCAAGTGTTCATGGCACCAATCAAGGCATCAGACTAGGATATATAATTCTGATGAGTCATGGCCTTAATAACAAACTACAGAATGCAACTTTAAATTACCTATCTAGGTCATGGAAACCACAACAATTATGTGGGGGGTCCTTATAAGAGTGATATAGGAGGAAGGTATAACAAAACAAATGGGGAGGAGGAAGTGCTAATGGTTTGATAACCTTGCTTAGAAGATCGAAAGAATGCATGATAGAAGCTAAGGAACAGACAATATATACAGCTTGCAGCCTTATCTCTCTATCTAGGTTTACTTAATGGAATATTCCTAGTAATTCTATTTAAATTTCTCCATTATCATACTTAGCTAGGGAAGAAAATTTGTCACGACCAACAGGGTGCATCAGACAGGAAAAGTGGGATCAGGCAAAAAGAACCAACAGAGATACGGCTCACACAGGTCCGAGAAGGCCAATAGGAAACAGGGGTTCTCGTAGCAGGAAGGGAGACAAGGACTCCTGAGTTAGCAAGACGGTTGTGCATGCCCATCTGAGGACCATAGTGTTCGTGAATCTGTGTGAGAACCCTTATTTTTCATATTCATAGCCCTCGATCCGAAATTGAGCCCATCTCAGGAAGGCTAGGTGGATTATCACAAAAATGCTAGCTCTCTTGTGATGATTCCACCACTTCTTGAGATAGGTTCGAAGTTAATGGTCAGGCTGAGGAATCCGAAGGACTATGGCTCTCGCAAAGTAGAATGTATGCCTTATTGTGGTCACCAGTTGTTGGTATCCAACTGTTTGTATTACTGACTGAGGAATCCTCATCATACCTCTGGGAGCTGGGCAATTCCTTATACATGTTTATACTTGAAGTCATTGGTGTTTCTGTCCTGTTGCCATTGACCATCATCCTTGGGCCTGTGACATGGGCACGGCAGTCCAGGGAGAAAAAAAAATATCCCTAACAGCCAACATATGGAACACTAGTAGCAGAAGAGCTGAGAAGGGTAAAGGCATATTTGATTGGTAGAGCCCGGGAAATATAAGGGGGAGCCAAGAATAGCTAGATAACATTGCCACGATGAGATAACCCTGAAGATCCCAGGAGACCGCGAGGTACTCACACGGGCAAAGGGATTTTATATAGAGGGAGCTACTTGGACACAATGAGGGATTTCACTTGGTTTCCTCTACCTAACACAATGACACTGATGGCACTCATATCAACTGTTCGAGAATAGAAAATCACAACTCGAACCTTCCGGCTCAGCCAGGGACCATAAAACAGGACAAGCCATCCCTCCTCAACGCCCTCCCTACTCTCCCTCACGTATAACCTCACAATCTCGATCGATGCACACCCCTAACAACGAAGAATCAGAATCGGAACGGTCTAGTTTGGACATCTGCATATTTCACACTCACCCCTCCTAACCCATTTTCCTTTTCCCTTTTTTTCCTACTTCTCTCCCTTTCCAACACCGCTCATCTATCCCACGGATACGCACCGCTTTCCCTCTCGGGTATTTTCCCGCGTGTACATGGCTTAGACTAGCGAGTGCATACGTACCTTTTGCCCGTTGGCGTCGTGGGCACGACTGAGCATCCTCAAATGGGTGATACGGGTTGGAATGCAATTCAATTCAATTCAATAACGACCCAGAATAGGACCCAAGGGGTACATACCTGGGGCTGGCCGGTTTAAAGAACCTTCCCCTGTACATAGTACACTGCACTCCCTCTAACCGACGCCGATTTTACCCTCTGCGGCTTTCTGGCGTTACCTGTATTTAGTCCAACTCAGTTAGCTTTTGCCCGCTGGCGTCGTGGGCGCGACCCAGCACCCTCGGGGGTGAACCTGGTCGAAAAATAGAATAAACAAAAATAAATATTGGAACAAAGTGGTGGACCGCATTTCTTGTCAGCCAGGTGCTTGACCTGCAACGATCCAGACAGACCTCTTGAGATGGGTTCGAGAGTTGCCAGGCTGCTGGATCGAGAGACAGGAGTTCTCACACAACCAAAGTGCCCGTTGTGGTCACCAGTTGGTAAGCAACTGTTTGTATTGCTGACTGAAGAGTTTCTTGGGCCAGATGGCCCTTCTTGGAATTTATATACATCTCATACGCTCTTGTGGCTTCCCTTCTCCTTCCTCAACATCCTTGGGTGTTGAGGGACACTTTCCCAATGTTCGGTTGTTGGGGGCGGATATCCGAGTTTGATGGGTCGCAACTCCCTTCTTCTACTCCAATCAGTGAGTTGCACAGAAGCTACTCTCCCAGATAGAGTCATTGTTAATCGTGACATGACCGCTTTTCAGAGATACTGGAAATGGTATGCACTGCACGCTTGGGTTAATTACATATCCCTTTTCCAAGGCCTGATTCCATTCGCTTCTCTCCTCATCTTTGCATCCCATTCGCATTGAAGCTGAATTCTTGTTTTGCCAACAACACTGGTTCCCTTGCTGTCAACAACATCAACCCTCCCGTCATGAACAACATTGGTGCCTTTGGTGTCAATACACTGGCTCCCTTGTCATCAACACCACTGGTTCTGCTGTCAATACCACGGGCTCCTCTGGCAATACCCACAATGTCAATATTCAGTTCCATTGTAGCATCCAGAACACTGGTTCTGGGAACATTATTGGTCACGTTCAATCGCAGGTGATCAACTATCATCAAGCAGGTTTGTCCAAACCTGATCTAGCTTTGTACAGAAATAGAAACTGAACTTTGCGCGATATTGAAGGAAATCTGCACTTTCCGCAGAAGTAGGATGCCGATTTCATAATACGTTTCCTGGTACTTAGGTGTTTTGGATTCAAGCTGAATCTCAAAAGAGCATAGAAACGGATTTAAAAATTGATACATTTGAAGCTGAATACTCGAAATATAACGGGATTGCACATTTGTAAACTTGTCCATGATTACTTATGAATTAAAGAAATGACAAATGGCAACCTTTCCCTCTTTTCTTCCTCTGATTCCTGGATCCAGCCAATCAGAGGGGGTGCTGCAGGGATAAACCTCTCAGGAGTGGTTTAACCTGAGCACTTCGATTCGCAACCCCACGACCACCGAGCACCCTCGTCGAGATCGCCCCCTCGAGCGCCGGCGCTCTCGCCGCTCTTAAGAGGGCCCGCGAGGAGAAGGTCAAGGAGTTCAACGCCTTCATATCCATTGCTGAAAAGCTGCTGCGCGCCATTGAGGACGTCGGGAGAAATCTCGATGGCACTCTGGAAAAGAAGGTTGGGAAGCCCATCATCGCCAGGCTTCACTCCTTCCTCATCCAGTCTACGATGGCCTAGGAGGAGCAGTACTACTCCTCTAGCACTATCGTTCGCGTACTAACCAAAGCCAGATACCAACAAGGGGAGTTTCAGATATTGATGTGTTTCAATCAATACTTCCCTAAACGCAGAATATCACACCACTATGTGCCCCTAAATTGAAAGTTACTGGCACCACGACCGCCGAACACTCTCTTCGGGATGGCTCCCTCGAGCGCCGGCGTTTTGGCCGCTCTCAAGAGGGCCCGCGAGGAGAAGGTCAAGGAGTTCAACGCCCTCATATCTGTCGCTGAAAAGTTACTGCGCACCATTGAGGACGTCGAAAGAAATCTCAGCGGCACCCTGGAGAAGAAAGTTGGGAAGCCCATTATCAGCAGGCTTCACTCTTTCCTCATCCAGTCTACGATGACGCAGGAGGGGCCAACCCTCCCCCCCTTTCCTCCCCCGGAATCCATCAGAACGCAATCAAATCCCCCAGAACCTGCTCGAACCTTCCCGCAACCAGCACCGACCCAGAGCCATACCACCCCGATTTATCAGGGCGCTCCACGCACCTATGCCCAGGCAGCAACCAACGGGGGCATACCCCCAATCACTCAGGCCCTACGACCCAGGGCAGCCCCGCCCCCACCCCGGCGCGATATGAAGCGGTCTCGGAGGGGCCTAGCCGTCGCGCCTTCCTCCGTATCGATAGGAACCACCCGGACTGGCGCAATGCCACACCGGCAGGCATCATCACCCTTCTAGTTGAGAAGCTAGGCTTCCCCAGAAAAGACATCGTCAAGGTTTACCCAGTCAACTCTGGCTTCGCGATCGAGGTCTCTCGCCCCGAACTCCGCTCCTCCTTAGCAGCACAACCAAAGGAGCACGACTACCGGATTGACCCGGAGACGGTCACGTTTGCTTACCTAGTCAAGAATGTCCCCGAGTACATCCTGGCACACGACGGCTCCTGTAGACACACCGACCCTCTGATCAGAGAGGAGGTCGCTGCAGTCACCAAGGAGAGGGAGTTCAATATTCATGCGGTTAATACCCCTAGAGCTTACCTGGTCGTCCTCACCAGGAAGATTACGCCGTTCAGGATTTTCGACTCGGATCCATCGATTCTCCTGAAACGAAAGGTTAGGATCTACACATGCGAACGATGTTTCGGCTTCCACCACAAGGACAAGTGCCGCTCAGCCCCGAGATGCGGGGAGTGCGGCGCCCCGGCACACAACCACAACCAGCACTTCCCCCTACCTCAGTGCCCGAATTGCTTGGGCCCAGCGAAGCCAGGTCACTCAGACTGCCCGACCAAGCCGAAGGTTTGGCAAGGCAGGCTCATGAAACTAACCGAGTCCCAGAGGAAGGCTGTTAGGAAGGCCGGCCAGGCCGCATACCGGGCTGCCAGACAGCAACCTATCCCCGCCCCCGCCTTCACAGAACGCCCGCAATCAGGGAGTGGTCCCCCCGGCGACACCGGATGCCCCACTCCCACGAGTCACGAGAGACGAGGAAGTTCTCCCTGACGCCCCACGAGCCCCGGCGGACAGGGCATCGGAGCCCCCTCAGCCCCAGAGTCCCAGAGTCCCACCCCTACTCTTGCCGCCGCCTCTCTTCCCCGGGCCCACACCGAGCCCCCCCAGCAGCCCGCCCGCCCGATCCTCCAGCCGGCGCTTGGTGCGGCGCAAGGCCGGGGCACTAACATCCCGAGAGAGGAGGTCCGAGACCGGCTCCGCAAGGCCGTCTCACTGGCCACCTCCAGATGGCCCGCCAAGGTGGTAATCATGGAAACCTCCGAGATCCTAAGCAAGAAGTGCTGCGACTTCTCCCAGCTTGTCAATTTCCTAAGCTCCGGGTCCCGCCTGTGGGAGAACCGCACGGCCTCGGCACCTTGCTCCTGGATGCCTTCTGGAGCAGTGAGACTGCGCGCTTCCTCCTCGAGGAGCGGGCATCACTACGAGAGGAGATGGAGGCAGAGCCCGCCAGAAAGACCAGGGCCCCGCCCTGCCGCCTATGCGGAGCCCGAGCAGGAGGAACATATTGAGGACTGCATTGTCGTCAGAACCAGCCTAGACTCCGGAGATGAGTCGGACCTGTAAGATTATCTCAGCTAACATACAAAGGATACAAAGGTCCCTGGCCAACATCGACGGTGTCCTCCAAAGGGCGGTGAGGCACCGGTATCAGGTAGTGTGCGTCCAGGAGCCTGCGGTTCCCTTCGGCAGAGTTCGACGTCATCCAGGTTTCACGTTTTACGCTATCGACGACAGAGTCACCAGGGCCGCGATCTACGTTGACCGGCGGCTCCTGGCCTCGGCCCCAACAGCTCCCGAGCACGGGTTAGTTACCGTATCCCTCCAAGGGATCACTATAGTCAACGTCTATCTACATCCCAATTTCGACATAGCCATTGACTCTTGGCGTACCCTTCGCTCTCTTTAAATCGATTCCAACTCTTTCATTGTCGTGGGAGACTTCAATGCCCATCACCCGGACTGGGACCCTCGTGCATGCCCCAACCCTAAGGGCGACATGGTCAGGACGTGGATCGCCACGAGGAGACTGCACATCCTCAACCCGGAAGGCCCTACACATCGCGGAGGCGGAGTCATTGACCTCGCCTTTGGCCCGGCCCGAGCCTTCGCAGAGTTCGCCCACTGGGCCTCCGATCACCGCGCGCTGGTCGTTTCGATCCCCAGCCGTTCCCCAGGCCGCCTGCCCCCACCCAAACGTCTCCCTGAGGCCCGTTTCGAAGAGGCAGCCCCTCTACTGAAGTCTCTCCTCCCCCCAGCTCCGGTTACCTTTGACTCCCGGGAGGAGCTCGAGCAGTTCGCATGGGATGTGTTCGATACCCTTGCCGGGGTGGCAGGCCGTTTTCGATCCGTCCCGACAAACACACGAAAAGCGCTCCCTGGTGATCGACCCCATAGTCTATCGCAAGCTCTGTAAGGAGGCTAGGGTAAACTTCTACAGGGAGAAAGTTTCCTCGGCCTCGACCCCGGCGGAGTGGGGCAAGATACTGAGATGGCGCTTCGATCATTCGGACGACTGACCCACCATCTTGGTCGTGGACGGGAGGGTGATCTCGGATACGGAGCGGATGGCGGCTTACCTCGCTACACAAGCCTTCTGCCCCGCAGGGGCCCAAGAGGGTCCTCGCCCGGTTTGGCTCGGTCCTCGTCTTCCCCCCTGAGTGGGCAGCGAGGCTCGCCGACCCGCCCAGCGACGACGAGCTCAAGAACGCCTTCCTCGGAGCCACACCAAACACACCCGGCCTCGATGGAGTGCCCCTGGCCTTTCTCAGACATACTTGGGAGCTCGTGCGCCCAGCTGCCCGGGCCATCGCCGAGGGCTGCATAAAATGGGGAGCTTTCCCCAAGGCCTTTAAACAAGCAACAGTGGTCACCCTTTCAAAACCCGGGAGGGATCCCTGATCGTACAAGGGCTGGCGGCCGATCACCCTACTATCGACTTTCGGCAAAGGTATAGAGAGGCTTCTGGCCCGAAGAATGACGGCAGCGGCGCTGAACTCGGGGCTTCTCCCCTCAGACGTCGCGGGGGCCGTCCCATCTAGGTCCGCACTGGACCTCGTCCAGGCGCTCATACACGACGCGGAGACCATGTCGAGGCAAGGCTACCATGGGCTCCTGGTCACCCTGGATGTGGATTCAGCCTACCCCTCTGTCCAACCGCCGATCCTCCGCGAGGTCCTGGCAGACCAAGGTTGGCCACGCTGGCTGCGCGAGGCAGCAGCCGATTTTTGCCAGGACCGCCGTTTTTCCTTCCGATGGGCACAATCTACTTTTCAGTCGGACTCGGGCCTTCCGCAAGGGTCCCCATGGTCCCCAATTCTGTTCGTCCTGTACTCTCTGCCAATCATAACCCCCTCACAACAGGGTCTTCGTTTATGTACATGGACGACCATGCGCAACTGTCCTGGAGTAAGCACCCGATTCAACTGGTCCACCATGCCTCCCTTAGGGTCAGTCAGTTATGCGCTAAGGCCCGGGGGCTCGGCCTCAGGATCGACCCAAGCAAGACGGAGGTCCTCTACATTCCTCCCCGCGGAGCCCGGGCGAAGTGGAGTAGGATAGACCCCGCGAGGATCTCGACTCAGGTCGAGGGAGTGTTCCTCTCCCCGAGCAAGTCCATCAAGTAGCTAGGAGTCTTGCTAGACCCCAAGCTCAGCCCTGCAACTCACGCTGCTGCCAGAGCATCGGCGACGGCCTCGGTGGTAGGCTTGATCAAACGCCTATCCAGCACGAGCCTTCGGGGCTTCCCCCATCGGCAGGCCCCAATATTTTCAACGCAGTCGTCACCCCCTCTCTCCTGTACGGCATGGTACAACTCGATACAGGCCCGACTAGGGCCGGGGCTAACGGTCGCCTAGTTCCATCCAGACTCGCGACGGTTTGGTCGTCTCTCGCCAGGGTTGCGAACGCGGCGCTGAGAGCGATTTTCCCGGTGTGGAGAACGATACCGACCCCGTGGCTCTGGTGGCTGGCTGGTTTGTACCCGGAGTACCTGCTTGACAGGGAGCGGGCACGGTGGAGAAAGCCGGGTCGAGATGTTACCGGCTAATCACCCTCTGCATGTAAGGCTTGCCCAACCCCCTTACCGCGGTTGGTCCCGTTTGCATCAGGCAGCTTCTGGCCTCGGGGCTAGGCCCCAGTGGGAGCCCAAACGCCTAGGCGTCAGGGCGTGGCTCGGCCTCCCCCTCGACGCCCCCAAGAGACGCCGAGTGCCTCCCCCAGATATGCGTGGATGGTGGCGGGCTAATAAGCCTGCGTCGGCCCTTTGGGATGGACACACAGCCAAGCCCTTCCTCGAAAGGTTCTCCCGGCAGTGTCTCTCCCGCTGGCTAGCGGAGGCTTCGGGCCATGGAGACTTCTCGGAATACCACGTGCGATTTAACCACCCCCGGGGGGCGTTAAAGGAGTGCCCCTGTGGCAGAGTAGTGTCTAGAGGCCACTTCTTCTCCTGCCCTCTCGCTATCTTTAACAACCCGCTCGCAGGTAGGCTGGACCTGAGGGCGTTCTGGACTTCTTTCCAACTATTCAGGTCCAGGGCCTCCCAGATCGAACTTTGGGGCCAAGCCTGGGATGCCGCCACTGGGCGCCTTATCCCAACGTTGAGACCCCTTCACCTCCCCCTACGTACACGACCCCAGTCCCACAGGGGCATCGACCCCGACACCGATTCGTCGGAGTCGGAGTCGGAGCTGGAGATCCACATCCCCGGGTTCGTACAAGTGTGAACCTCCCATTCAATCCAGGACACACAACCCCCCACCCCCTCTTTGGCTTACACCGGTTTTGCCTCAGTGCAGGCTTTTCCTCCGGTGTTGCTTGCATATAGGTTAGTTTAGTAGCTATTGCCCGCCGTCGTCGTGGGCACGTCCTATCACCCTCAGGGGTGGATCCAGTCGAAAAAATAGAATAGGAATAAGAATAGGATGGTCCCTAGCTAAGCCGGAAGGTTCGAGTTGTGATTTTTCTATTCTCGAACAGTTGATATGAGTGCCAAAATGCTCTGGAGTCCAGGCGGCCAGTAAGAGGATTGTCAAGGGAGGAGAGGGGGCACTGGAGGAAGTGGCCTCTGGATACTGTCTCGCCGCAAGAGCAAGTTTTGATCGCACTCGGCGGGTGGTTGAACCGGACGTGGTACTCGAGGAAGTCACCATGTCCTGATGCCTCGGCAAGCCACCTAGCGAGGCACCTCCTGTCAAACAAGCTGAGGAAAGGTTTGGCCGAAGGGCCGTTCCAGAAATTGGATTGTGGTTTATTGGCCCTCCATCACGACTCCATATATTCGGAGGCGGGACTTTATGCGACCTGGGCGAGGCTGGGGGAAGTCCGAGCCAAGCTCTAGGCCCCGGACGGCGTGGCTCCCAGAGAGGGCCTGGTTGGATGCCTTGAGCTGCCTGATGCGGACGAGACCAGCCTTTGTGCGGGGAAGTCTGTAGCCACCTCTAAGTGGGTGGTCCGGAGGTAGAGTTTGAACTCAATTTCGCCATCTGTATCTTTCCCGATCCAGTAGGTACCGCGGGTATAGTCCGGCGAGCCACCACAGCCATGGCGTTGGGATGGTACGCCAGACCGGAAAGAGAGCCCTGAGAGCCGCGTGGGCGGTTTGGGCAGGACTGCCTCAACAGCACCGAAGCCAACGGGTATAGCCGACCCCTAGCCCCGACCCGGGAAAGGCCTATGTCGAGTTGAGCCAAGCCATACATTAGTGATGGCACTACTGACATGTTGAAAATGGTAGGTCCAGATTTGGGAGGAAAACCTTTAACTTTACTATTGGAAAGTCTCTTGATTAGGCCTGCCACGGGGACCGTAGCGGATGCCCTCGAGGATGCTTGGGCTAAGGGGCTCAGTTTGCCGAGCCACTTCACTGAGGTTTTGGGGGGGACTGTCAGGTCACCAGATCGAAGTAAGCCGATTTGGGTCCGTCTTGTGCCGCTTTGAGCCTGCTCCACGTGGGGGGATGCACAGGACCTCTTTTCTGTTGGGATCTACTCTAAGACCGAGGCCGCCTGCCTTTTGACGTAGGGATTGGACACGGAAAGCAGCGCGGAATGCCAGTTGAGTGGGGTCCCGGCTCCAGGAGAGTTGTGCGTGGTCATCCATGTACATGAACGATGCACTTTGTGGTGACGGAGTAATGATGGGTAAAGAGTATAACACAAAGAGTATCGGTGACCATGGGGATCCTTGGGGCAGCCCCATGTGTCCGAGTGAAGGTAGATGTGCCCACCTAAAGGAGAAGTGGCGCCTCTCGCAGAGGGTCGTTGCCGCCTCGCAGATGTTTGGAGGCCATCCCTGGTCCATGAGTGGCGCCATGGTCGAGTCAGTGTTTGGTGACTGCTTAGGATAACCACACCTGATTGGTTGATCCCGCGAACTCTTCCTCTGATTCTGACTGCATTAAAGACCATCTCGCTAATAGCCGGAACAAAGGGGCCCGTTTTCGACCTCCGATTCCTATCTTCTTTGAGCGCCTCTGTTCCAATCTAAAAGGATTGGTATCACTTCCCCAAAGCCTGATTCCGCTTCTTTCTGTCCTCATCTCTTGCACTCTATTCATGTTGGTGCTGAAATTTTGTTTTCCATGTGAGATCGCCTGTTTGCCCCGCCCTTACTATACGAGCGAGCTTTCTACGTTGCTCTCTTTCCCTAATCCTCTTTTCATCATGCCCGCTTTTATTAGTGTTAGTACATTCAATTAAACTAGAGCCAACTTTCAAAGTCCCGCTTCTTTCCAAACCTAGAGGAAATAGTTGCAACTCCACAAATCATCGTTCTTTCCGATGTCGGAACATAAGAAACGGGTGTTGATGGAGAAAATAACTAAAAAGCTCTCGAGAATATGTTGCTTTGGAAAACGAAAGGATACCCTGAACGAGCACAATATTGGTGCTGTAACTGCCTCCTCTGCCGTCAGCAACATTGGTGCCATTAACAATATTTGCTTTCCCACCATCAACAACGTTGGCTCCCTTGACGTCAACAGCACTGGTTCCGCTGCTGGCAACATCACTAGCCCCCCTACTGCCGACAACACCACCGGCTCCCCTGGCAATACCCACAACGTCAATCTTCAGTTCCACAGTAGTATCCAAAACAGTGGTTCCGGGAACGTAATTGGCCACGTTCAATCGCAGGTGATCAACTATCACCAAGCAGGTTTGTCCAAACCTTGATCTAGCATCTTTACGAGTCATTGTCTTGTGGCCAATCTTGAGCTGACGTTTGTCCCGTAAGAACAAAAAGATGAAGAAATCCTCAGCTGGCTCTCTTCAGTGGACTATTCGCTACAACAAGCCGCCTTTCTACGCCAAAGAGAAGAAGGCACAGGACAGTGGTTCTTACACTCTCCACAATTTCAAGAATGGTATAATATTCTTCGTTTCCTTTGAACCCGTCTCGATCCTGTTTTTCTTCAAGCTAATCAGCCCACTAGGCTGTCGAGGAAGCCAGTGACTCTCTTCTGTCCCGGCATACCTGGTGCTGGGAAGACTATCCTTGTATCAATCGTCGTCGATTATCTCCAAAGGAGCTTGCGAGACCGTGACGCTGGCATCGCATACTTATATTGTAACTTCCGGCGCGTAGACGACCAAACCGTGGAGCAGCTAATTGCCAACCTCGTAAAGCAACTGCTCAGCAACAAGCTTCCGCCGCCATCAGCAGTTATGGATATATATGCGCAACACAAAAAGCACAGGTCGCAGCCATCGTTGAGCGATCTTGAAGGTATGTTCCATGCTGTGGCCGCACTGTACAAGGATGGAGTCTTTGTTATTGTTGACGCGCTCGATGAGTGCCAAATGAGTGACAATATTCGTTCCAAATTCATTGAAACATTGCTGCGCCTTCAGTTGAGGAAAAGTAATGTCAACATCCTCGCCACATCCCGGCCTGTACCTGATATTGTGGAAGCCTTTGATGGGTATTCCCGACTTCAGATAGTTGCCCAGAGGGACGACATCGAGCGATATATACGCAATAAAATGCCCAACCTGCGCGCTGTCTCAAAATACCCGCACCTCCAAGATGAAATCATCGACTGCATTGCCAGTGTCGCAGATGGCATGTAAGTTATCCGTGTTCCGTGAACCACGACTTATTGATTCAATTGAGTATATGCTTACTTATAAAGTTAGGTTCCTACTTGCTCACCTCTTCTTCGAAGCCTTGAAAGATAAAGTCAGCGCAAAACTCATCCGTAAAACATTGAAAGAGCTTCAAAACGACGCTAAGGAGAAGGAGCCAAAGCATGCCCTATTACGCCGGGCATATGACGATGCAATGGAGCGAATAAATGGGCAACCGGTCGGATATAAGAAGCTTGCCAACCATGTGCTATCGTGGATCATCTGCGCCAAACGTCCTCTCAAAACAATAGAGGTTCAGTATGCGTGGGCTGTCAAGGACAGTGAGGACGAACTTGATGAAACCGCGATCCCCGATGCCGAAGATATGCTTTCGGTATGTTGCGGGCTCGTTGTCATCGACAAAGAAAGCGAAATTATCCGACTTGTCCACTATACGGTTCAGGAATATTTCCAGGATACTTTGGCTCGGTGGTTTCCGACCGCCCATCTCGATATCGCCAATACCTGCATATCATATCTTTCGTTTAAGGACTTTTCAGGTGGCCCTGTCAGGACATTTGAGGAGGCGCGTGTACGACTCAAAAAACCTCTCTTTACCTATGCTGTTGACTACTGGGGATATCATACATCTACGTGTTCCTCCTGCAATCCTCAGCTGCTTGACTTACTAACGAACTCGGAATGGGTTAGTATGGTGGTGCAACTTTGTGCTATGTTTTCCAAGATCAGAGAGCGCCCTTGGCTCCTTGGGGATTCAAGCCTAAGTTTGGAGCACCTGAGGCCATCTCAGAATGCATTTCACGTGGTTGGTGTTTACGGGCTCAATAATCTAGTCAGGGCGCTCCTTACCAGTGCCGAGGATATTGATCCTGACCAACGAGATAATCGAGGAAAAACGCCGCTGATTTGGGCTTCAGAGTATGGTCATACAGATGCAGTCAAAACGTTTCTATCAGATAGTCGAGTTGATCCAAACCGACAAGACAACGAGGGCCGAGAGCCGCTACATTGGGCAGCAGGGAATGGCAATACAGATGTTGTTAAAACGCTATTATCGAATGGACGAATGGACCCAGACAGGAAGGATAGAGAGGGCCGAACGCCTTTGATTTGGGCAGCACGGAATGGCCACACAGATGTTGTTAAAACTCTGTTATCTGATGGTAGGGTATATCCAGAACGGCAAGACAACTATGGCCGAACACCGCTAAGTTGGACTGCACTGAATGGCCATACGGAGGTTGTCAAAACTCTGTTATCTGATGGCCGGGTTGAACCAGACCGACAAGATAACATTGGCCTAACGCCGCTGAGTCGGGCTGCACAGAATGGCCATACGGAGGTTGTCAAGACTCTGTTATCTGATGGCCGAGTTGAACCAGACCGACAAGATAACAATGGCCAAACGGCGCTGAGTTGGGCTGCACAGAATGGCCATACGGAGGTTGTCAAGACTCTGTTATCTGATAGCCGAGTTGTACCAGACCGACAAGATAACTATGGCCGAACGGCGCTGAATTGGGCTGCACAGAATGGCCATACGGAGGTTGTCAAGACTCTGTTATCAGATGG